GGCTTCAGTCTGGCCAAGCCCAGGTGCAGCAGATGCAAGATCTCTTTCTCTGTTTCTCTTTCTCTCTGTGTTCCACTCTTCCAGGTGAATAAATCTTGTAAAATATTATTAAAATTACATATTGTTTTTAGGGTTAGCATTGTGGCACTGACTGTAATGCAGGTATCACATTGGGCACTGCTACATGCCCCAACTGCTCCACTTCTGATCTAGCTTCCTATTAATGGATTGGGAAAAATAGCAAAAGATGGTCCAAGTGCTTGGGCCCTACCACTCAAATGGGAGATCTGGATGAAGCCCCAGGCTCCTGGCTTCCACAGCCATCAGGGGAGTGGACCGTAGATGGAAGATCTCCCTTACTCTTTTAAAATAAATAGATAAATATGGATAAGAAATTTTCTTTTTCCAAAGATTTATTTATTTTAATTTAAAAGGCAGAGAGAAGCAGAGACAAAGAATATTTTCCACCTGCGGTTCATTCCCCCAGTGGTCACAATGGCCGGAGCTGGGCCAATATGAAACCAGGAACCAGGAGCTTCTGGGTCTCCCATGTAGGTGCAGGGGTCCAAGAACTTGGGCCATCCTCTGCTACTTTTCCAGTCCATAAGCGAGGAGCTGGATGGGAAGTGGAGCAGCTGGGACTAGAACCAGTGCTTATATGGGATGCAAGTGCTGCAGGTGGAAGATTAGCTGCTGAGCCACTATGTTGGTCCTCGGAAGTTTTCTACACAGAAAAATCACATGTAATGTTACTCCTTAGATATAACCACAACTGGCACTTGCCTTTAGAATTTTTTTCTATGCATTTGATTTCAAATAACAGAAAATTTAATTCAAACCTATTTAAGTAGTTAAGGAAAGTTACTGGTTTACATGAATAAGTCCACTGGCCAACTAACTAGGCCGTTTCCAGAGAGGCTTTTTCCACAGTCAACATGCCATTACAAGACTCCATTTGCTTTTTTCTGCCTGCTGTGCCTACCTTGGTCCACATCATTCAAGGACTGGTTTCTCTCATGGTTCCAAGATAACAACTGCCAGCATCTTCCCCTTCTCTGGCAAAGGAAAAAAGAAAAGAAAAGAAAGAAAGAAAGAAAGGAGAGAGACAGAGAGAAAATATTACATTCTTTGCAAAAGTCCAGAAAGTCATCTCTATTATACTGTACTAGGTCAATGCTCACCCTGACTCGATTATTAGGCCCACTAAACAGTATACCAACTGAATGCTCTAGTTTTTGTCACATTAACACTGAAGGTAGAATGAATTTACCATCTTCAGAATCATAGATCCCTGTAGAGAAAACATTGCTGTTGGAAATGAAAGAATGTTTTTTTAGGATTTATTTTTATTGGAAAGGCAGATGAGATTTACAGAGGGGAGACAGAGTAAAAGATCTTCTATCTGCTGATCCATTCCCCAAATGGCCACAATGGCAGGAGCTGAACCAATCCAAAACCAGGAGCCAAGAGCTTCCTCCAGGTCTCTCATGCAGGTGTAGGGGCCCAAGGGCTGGGGACATCTTCTAATGCATTTCCAGGACACAAGCAGGGAGCTGGATGGAGTGCAGAGCAGTTGGGACACAAACCAGCATCCACATGGTATCCTGGCACTTGCAAGGTGAGTATTTAGCCTTAGAGCTGTCAAGTGTGGCCTGGAAAGGAGAATTTTTAATAACATCATTTTAGACTCATTAAAACAATGTATTTTGTCACTTTTACCTAATTTATTCAACTTTGACTACAATTTCAGATGGTTCAGTTTCAATTTTTTTAAAAGACCATTCCCAAAATTTCACTCAATAGGCAATAACAATGGTGATTATACGTGTGCATTTATGGATTTTTAAATGCTAATATTAGTAAATGAGAGTCCAGTATTGTGAAATAGTGTGTTAAGCAGCACTATTTCTTCTGCACAACTGGCATCCCATATGGGCACTGGTTCGAGAACCAGCTGCTCCTCATCCTATCTGACTCCCTGCTAATGCATCCAGGAAAGCAGAGGAAGATGGCCCAACTGCTTGGGCCCCTGTCACTTTATGGGGGACCTGGATGAAGTTATGGGCACAGCTCTGGCCACTGAAACCATGAGGGGAGTGAATCAGAGAACAGAAAATTGGTATCTTTCAGTCTCTAACTTGGCCTTTCAAAAAAGAAAACCTAGTAAGTCAAAAATGTTACTGAAAATCATGTGTGTGAAAATTACAAGAAAAAAATCACAACTACTTGATTTAAAATTCATCAGAAATCCAGATGCGCATCATACTGCCTCAGTGTATGTCCTGCCTGACCCCTTGCTCTATCCCTCCTGACAATCTTGAGTGGCCAGGGAAATGGAGTATCAGAAAGCGCAAAAGCTGCAGGTCCATTTTATTTGTAAGTGGACATTAAGATCCATTTACGGTTTTTACTCCAATAATCTTTTCTTTCTCTTAACAATATACTAGAGGTCAACATTTGACAGTATCATCAGAAGGGTCAGAGTGGAATTGAATTATTTTCTAATGACAATCTTTGCTAATTTTTTTTTAATCTAAGGATGACTTTCATAACAAAGTCTCTCACCTACAAATGGGCTACTTCTAGATGGCCTTGCCACAGGCTGTCTGGTTCTCAGAACACTCACTCCTTAAGTTATCACTGTGAACCATGTCCTTTAGTTCTGCCTTTTCTCCCACTTTTCTGCTTTCTCTTCAGGCACTTGCCAGAAAGCTCTGTGAACATCTGTTGATGTTTTCCTGGGTAGTTAGTTCACAGAATGAGGATGTCTCTCATTCTTACGTTTTATTTTTCATATATTTTTTCATATATACTTTATATTTCATATATATTTTTATATATCATATATTCATATATATATTTCAAATATGTATATATTTTAAAACTTTGTTAATGGAAAGGCAGATCTATAGAGAGAAGGAGAGACAGAGATAAAGCTCCTCTATCCGCTGGTTTGTTCTCTAGATGGCTGCAACCACTACAGCTGAGTTGATTCGAAGCCAGAAGCCTGGAGCCTCCTCCAGGTCTCCCACACAGGTGCAGGATCCTAAGGCTTTGGGGATATTCTCCTCTGCTTTCCCAGGCTACCTACGGGGAGCAGCTGGGACACGAATTGGCACCCATATGGGATACTGGTGATTGAAAGGTGAGGATAAGCCAATGGAACTATTGTGCTGGGCGAACTATCCAGGTGTTCTGAAACCAATTATTCTATCTCATAGAGCCTCTGACGTAACTTCTTCAAAATAAAAGAGACTAAACCAGTAATTTCCCAAGCTTATAGATTTTATACTTTATACAAGATTCACTATCTTTTGCTTGTTCTGGCTTCCCCACTTAAGTATGTTTTCATTTTCAGCTAATACACACAGAGGGCCTGTTGTGGTAGCCTAGAGGCTAAAGTCCTAGCCTTGCATGCACTAGGATCACATATGAGCACCGATTCTAATCCCAGCAGCCCTGCTTCCCATCCAGCTCTATATATATATACACACATAGAAAGTAAAGGAATTGGGCCCGGCACGATGGCGCAGTGGTTAAGGTCCTCGCCTTGCAAGCCCAGGATCCCATATGGGCGCCGGTTCTAATCCCAGCAGCCCCACTTCCCATCCAGCTCCCTGCTTGTGGCCCGGGAAAGCAGTCAAGGATGGCCCAAAGCCTTGGGACCCTGCACCAGTGTGGGAGACCCGGAAGAGGCTCCTGGCTTCGGATTGGCTCAGCTTCAGCCGTTGTGGCCGCCTGGGGAGTGAATCATGGGAGGGAAGATCTTCCTCTCTGTCTCTCCTCTCTGTATATCTGCCTTTCCAATAAAAATAAAATAAACCTTTAAAAAAAAAAAACAGAAAGTAAAGGAATTTAGGGCTAGAAACAATTCAGAAGTCATTTTAATTCCTTTTTATCATAATGGATGAATAAATGCATAGGTTCATTAACTTCTTCCTCTTGGCCCTATTAGTGAGCCCCATTGGTAATGTCCCTCAGACCCATTCTATCCTTCTTACTGTTAGCACCCCAGAATAAGTCTCCATTTCCCTATGTCTTGGTTCTTCCCCAAAGTCACCACATTTTCTTGCCTTAAACCTCCCTTTCCCACAAATTCTGGGGGTGCTTCCAGGTTACACATAAAAAATTAGTATGATCATTATGACATATTCTTGTGGGGAAAAAAAACTAATTGCTTTACTGTTATTAAAGGATAAAGCTCAAACTAGCTTAGGGAAGTAACTTACCTTCCCAAACATATCTTAGTATTCCCTTAATTAAAGATAAAAGTTCAACAAATATTTAAAGAAAATATTCTCCAATGTTTCTAAACAGAAATTCTGTTAGCGTTGAGTAATGATGTTACTTGCACTTTTTAAAGGAGCCAGATTCAAGGGAAATAAAAACGGAATTAAAAAGTGAAAACAAACAAAAAATGCATACCTTTCCTAGTTTTACTATCTACCCATTTTCACCTGGTTTCAGATGCTGTGATTCACCCTAGCCTTATTGTTTTTCTTGGCAATCCATACAGTTTTGCATCTTTGTTCTAAAACTGCAGTGATAATTTTTTTAAAAATCGAATCTGCAAAGTTAAAATTCTTAAAATTGTGGAGATATCCACTTACACTGGGTCCTAAAAATATTTTTAAACTTGGAATAACATTGATTACAACAGGCTGACGCAAATACAGCATTTCTTCAGGCTTCCAAAGCGGAGCACCACATTAGTATTTGTGGCACTTCAAGTTCTGGAAGTTTCCCACCTATACACCCAATTTCTTACAGGATATACATGTAGCTTTCCTCACAACACAAGTACAACCAGTGTTGGACAGAGTGCTCTAATTCCAGCTTTCCAGTCCTTTTATCTCCTCATTTAAGGTCAAAGTACACACTGCCTTGGGCACGGTGGAACGCAGGATTTTGACCCAGGGCTGAGTGTAGGTCTTTGCTTTTAATGTGTACGCTACAAAAAAAACCCCAAACACATGCTAACCCAGAGAGCAGACGCCGGCTCACAGGATGCTGAGCTCAGATAGCGGAAAGCCCACGGGGAATCCCACGCCACGCCGCCATTTTGCCGAGGCCCGGCGGCCGGAAGTCGCGCCCGGCGGGGCGGGGTCTGAAAGCCGGGCTCCAGGACCCCGGAGCTCGGAGTCCCGAGGCCACGGGCGGAGAGGAGGCTGTGGGAGGAGGGTGGAGTGGGATGGGGTGCGGGCCGCGTGACTCCAGCCCTGAGGCAGCGGGCGGACCTGAGGGCGGGACCGAGACTGTGGTGAGCAGGAATCCGGTGGACCGGAGCGGGACCTGAGAGAACAGCGGGGTGTTTGGGGCGGAGGGCGGGGCCAGGAGGTGGAGCCTGCGGGCCGGGCGGGGCCCGAGGGCGGGGCCTGCGGGCCGGGCGGTGGCCTATGGGGGAAGGCCGGGGGCGGGGCTGGGGCGGGGCCGGGGCGGGAGCTGACAGGGCCGCAGCGGCTCGCCCCGACCTCACTTTCTCGGAACGTGAGCTGCTGCTGCCGGCCACCGGCGGCGCTCGGCGGAGAGGGCTGGGGGCGGGAGATGAGGGTGATTTCCTCCCCGCTGGGCCCTCTACGAACATCTACTCCCTTCTTCTGGAAGCCCAGGGGCTGCAGACGTAGCAGGTGAGATGGGCCGCCGGGGATCTGCGTCTTGGCTCGGCCCTCGGGGACACCCGATGCCGTCGCCCCCTGCCCCTTGGTTCTTGGTCGGTGGACAGCAGCCGGCCCCTCTGCGCCCCGGCTTCGCGGCCCGCAGCTCTTACCTTTGGGACGACGAGCGCGACCACCGACCGGGAAGGCTCGCGCAGGGGTGGGGGGCGGCTTGTCTCTTCGGGGACCTGACTTGCGGTCCTCACCGCACGTGCTTGCCCCCCGCCATCCAGTCCCCCTGTAGCCCCAGGGTGGCTCAGTGTCTGCTTCTCCTGAGAGGGGCTGCTGCCGAGGTACCTGAGCGTTGAGCCCAATTTCCTCCGTTATCCTCTTTTGGGGTGTATTAGTTAACCATGGCGTTGTGACTCCCATCCCCTGGGAAGCTAGCTGAGCGACCACAGCTGGGCAGCCTTTCCACCTAACGCTGCTGCCTTACCGACGTGCCTCGGGCGACACCCACCCTCTGGGCAGGCTGATTGTTTGGGAGACTTTTCCCGCACTCCTTATCTTGGAAGGCTCAGAGGAGGGAAGCCAGCGGTACAGAACGCACTCCCTGCCCTGGCTCTCCGGGGAGGACTTTGGTGCCCCCGCAAGTGGGCGGCAGTGGCTGTGTGGTGTGACTGTTGGTGTTGAATAGTGCCGCTCTCCCATGGGATAATGATATTGGGTGTTTGGGAAACAGCCCAAGAGTTTGACTCTTTCTATTTAAAGGTAATCACCCTCACTCCAGTTTTACTTGATAGAATAGCTACTTAACACTTTCGGTGGTCTCTGTTAATCCAAGCCAAATACAAATGGCTTGTATAGCATTTCTCCAGCCCCTGCCCCAGTGACCATTTTCCTGTGACAGGTCAACTTGATTTTTCTATAGTAAGTCTTGGTTTTAGAGATGAAAAAATCGCATGCAATTAAACATTTAAAAACTCTTCACTTGTGGTGGTTTCTGTTCATTTTTAAATATGGTTGGGAAAGTATATTTGCATTTTAAAAATATCCAGATGAGACAAACTTTCTAAGTCCTTTTGAGTATTTTGACTTCCCCTCAGTTAGCAAGCATTGCTTTTGTAATAACAGGGAAAAAAAAATGTTACAAGAAACTTTTTGGAAAGAGGTATGTGACATTTGAAAGTGCTTTTTTCAGCTTTCAGCTTTAATTGAAAGTTACACTGCTAAGATTTGACCATCACCTGGTGAAAGATGAAGTGCTCGCTCCTCACTGTTTACAACCATTTAGGATCAGACTGCATTAAATGCAAGTTATTAATTGTTTGTTATAAAACAGAAACTCATAATCTTATGACACACCCTGGGTGGTACAAAAATCTTTAAAGAACCAGCATTAGACAGTGGGATTGTTCTTCTTGGTTACAATTCTTATCATCAGAACTGCAGCTTCTAAGAGCAACTGCTGTCATTTCTAGAAGGCATACTCGGTGATAAGCTGTGCACGCCACAGCCACACCACGGCCTTCTGTGGACGGTTTTTACTGTCACTTGATAGCTGAGGGTTCTGAGCTCCAGGGAGGCCAAGTCGAGGAATTGATAAGGAATAAAACCTAGAATCTGCTTGACTCTTCCCTTTGTTTGCTCTTCTAGTTAAAAATGTTGATGAACACAAAAAAAAGAAGAAGATTGGAATAGGCTGAAATGCTAGTTTATGAGCAGTCTGAATCCTTATTTCAGGCAGAGATATGGGGAACTTCTGAAAAAACTCAGAAAACTAGGTTAGTTGGTCCCTTTCTTCAGCACCGCCTTTCCAAGACCACATTTTTTAAAATTAAGCTCAAAAGTGATATTCTTTTTTTTGTTTTAATTGACAAGTCAGATTTGCAGAGAGAAGGAGAGACAGAGAAAAATATCTTCTATCTGCTGGTTCACTCCACAGGTGGCCACAATGGGCTCAGAGCTGAGTTGATCCAAAGCCAGGAGTCAGGAGCCTTTTTGGGTCTCCCACATGGATATAGGGTCCCAAGGATTTGGGCCATCTTCCACTGCTTTCTCAGGACACAAGTAGGGAGCTGGAAGGGAAGTAAAGTAGCCAGGACACAAACCTGCATCCCTATGGGATCCCAGCTCATTGCAAGGCGAGGAGTTCAGCAGCTAGGCTACTGCATCAGGCCCGAAGACCACATTTCTTAGGAGTTCCAAATGTTGAATGTTTTTGTTGAGTTGTTGACCAGCTTCTTACTTCAAGTATGGGTATTTGTCCCACTAACAGCTTTCCCAGGGTATAATTTGATGCTTATTTGGTAAACTTCAAGTATGTGAGTATTACAGGTTTCATGTATATTGACCACTCCTATCTAATCCTGGTAGAAAAATATTGTCCTAATCCAGATTAAATGTAAGGTTTTTAAATGGTGTGGTTTATATCTGGGCAGCACAGAGAAAATTCTTGTACACACCCCCATGTATCAGTTGTTGGTGATCTCTGGCCTGCTGGCTGAGGTTTTTCAATGTCAAGAGGTTGGTTGGAGAACTTGACCTGGACGTTTCAGGAAGTGTGAGTTTTTTTACATTTTACTTTATCTCAAGCCATTTTAAATGGTCAACCTACACTAATCACTTGAGATTGGCAATTTTCATCGTATTAAATTCAAGATGTTAATAAAAGCTGATTAGCTTCAGAATTGGTCAAACCTTGTGTCTCTTAGCATCAACAGATTTGATAAAAATGTTTGTAATATTAGCATAACAAATTTATTGCTTGTTTTAGCATTTTGTGAGCATCTTTAGAACACTTTACAACACATTTTGTGTTCCTTAGCATTTTATGAACATCTTTAGAACATTTCAAGGCACATTCTGTGTTCTTGAGCTTGTTGTTACAGTGAGCAATTTAGAATAATACTTTACCAAATTCTGTGCATCCACTAGCTAATGCCTGAAAGAGGACATTGACTTATGAAGGGATAAGAGGTTTATTGACTCATTCATTAAAAAATATTTTCTCCAGTATATTCTATGTGCCAGGTACTATGACATGTTAAGGGCACAATAGTAATAAAACGTTTGTTTATAAAATCCTTGCTTATGCAACACTTACAGCCTAGGGAGATAGTCATAAACAATCATTCTAATACATTTGATAAGTATAAACCAAGAAAAGCTGAGCTGAAAATGGTGTGATTCAGTTGGTGAGGGAACCATATCCTGACTTTGGGGTGAGTGAAGCCTAACCTGATGCAATGAATCATGAGCCGCAAGGTTCGGAGGCTGAGTAGGTGTTAATTATGTAGAAAATGGCAGATGGGGCAGAGAAGAGAACGCTTTAAAGAGTACTGAATGTGTCAAGTCCCCTCTGGCACAAAGGGACTAGGGAACCAGTATGTGTGGCTAGGGTAAAAGCTACTATAAGTAAGCTGGTGGAATTCTATTCTTTTATTCATCCGTTTTTCTTTCACTTTCTCCCTTGCATTCTCTGAAGAGTTATATTCCATTTGGTTGAGTGATTACTCTATGCTGATTGAGACTCTAAGGTAAATAGACATTCATCTCAAGTTCCTGTGAGGTAAATATTTGCCACTTCACAGATGAGGAAAGTGAGGCACACGTTGATTCAAAGGATGATACATGATGCTCTGTTATGTTCTTCTTCTTGGTACTTAAGTGTGATTGTGGGCTGCAAGGGAACCCTTGCTGCCATGTGACTCCTTCATTGTCACCCTGCGAACTTCCGTGGTCTCTAGACAATCCGAATGCAGGCGGCCCTTGCCCTTGCCCACTTCATGGAACTCAAGGGTGGATCATAGAAGATAACCCCAGGGTATCACCAGCTGAAATATTTGTGACTCTTGTGTCTGACTGAATATAGAATAGCAGCATAAATATTTTGACCTGACCTACTGCCTGTGAGAGAAAAGAGGTTATTATGTTTTCCGCATCATATTTTTTCCTTGGTGGTATTAGAATAAAGGCATATTTATTTATTTGGCCATGTAATAAGAAGTCTAGGAAGACAGTGTGTCATGTCAACTAGAATTCTTATTGTCACTCTGACTCCTTGTTCTTTTCTTTGCAGAGAGCTGGTTGGAGGTGGAGGTTGAGAGAAAATGAGTTCTTTTTCTCATTTACCTGCTGAAAACTCAACCACTGCAGTCAACATGACTGAGACTTTGTCTACTCCAGTAATGCATGGATTTAATTCTACTAATGACTCACCTTCCATGGCAATCACAAGGCTTTTCCCAGCTTTACTAGAGTGCTTTGGCATAGTCCTTTGCGGTTACATAGCAGGAAGGGCCAATGTCATAACATCAACACAGTCCAAAGGACTGGGAAATTTTGTCTCCAGATTTGCACTTCCAGCTTTGTTATTCAAAAACATGGTTATACTTAATTTCTCAAATGTGGATTGGGCTTTCCTATATAGTATCTTAATTGGCAAAGCTTCTGTATTTTTCATTGTCTGTATATTAACCTTATTGGTTGCCAGTCCTGATAATCGCTTTAGCAAAGCTGGACTATTCCCTATTTTTGCTACACAAAGTAATGACTTTGCATTGGGATACCCAATAGGTAAGTTATTTCTTTATTTGTCAAGCTTTTTTTTTTAATATAGACATTTTAGCACATAAATATGCATGCTTTTAGTTATCTAGAAAATTTTTTAGGATTTATTTATTTTCATTTGAAAGGCAGAAGGAGAGAGAAAGAGAGAAAGAATGAAAGAAAGAGAGATCTTTCTGGTTCACTCCCCAACTGGCCACCACAGCTGGAGCTGATCTGATATAAAGCCAAGAGCCAGTGTTTCTTCTGCATCTTCCACATGAGTGCAGGAGTCCAAGGACTTGAGCCATCCTTTGCTGATTTCGCAGGCCATAAGCAGGGAGCTGGTTCTGAAGTGGAGTGGCAGGGACATGAACCAGTATCCATATGCCATATGGGATGCTGGCATCCCAGGTAGAGACTTGGCTTGCTTTGCAATGGTACCAGCCCCATAGGCATGTTAGTGACTAGTTCTTCCTATTGTATCCAAGAAAGCTTTCATTTTTTCCCTTAATTATATCTTAAATTTGGGTGAATTAAGTTTTTCAGCTGCAGAGATTAAGAATCCTCTGAATGTCTACCTAAAATAAATGGCCATAACCTAATAATCTATGTGAATAGTCTTTCTAGTAGTTTCCTTTTTTTTCTCATTAATCACATTTTCCACAAGAGATCAAATTCTTATTTAAACTATGAGAAAGGTAAGTTTGTGATTGTATAATCATTATTAAATATTAGCAGTGGGAATTAATAATTTTCCTTTTTGCTTTACTTCTCTCATCTAAAATATATATTATTTTACATTATGTTATGTGTCCTTTTATAATGTGACATGATGTAAAGAACTGAATATTACAGACGTCTTCATTTGTTCATGCATTCACTCACTCCGAAGGGAACCGTTACATAAACTGTGTTGGCTGCTGGGAATACCCTTGTGAACAAAACTCTTATATGTGTTGAGTTTACATTTTAATGGAAAGATAAATAATAAAATTACTATTAAATCAGATAGCAACAACAACCATAAAAAATAAAGTGTTGTGTGGGGGATAAGAAGAAAGGGATGCTACTTGAGCTAGCCACTCCACTGATAGTCTTTTGATAAGAACTTACTAATGTGTTTACATGTGAGGGCTACCATTAACTTTATCTTTTTCCCCTAACAAATTTGTTTTCATTTTGCTTGAGAGGCAGATACACAGACAGAGATCTTCTATTCCATAATCCACCCCCAGATGCCCACAATAGCTGGAGCTGCACTAGTCCAGAACTCAATTTGAAGCTCCTCCATGGGTGATAGGAAGCCAAGCACTTGAGCCATCACCTGCTGCCTCCCAGAATGCACAGTAGCAAGAAGCTGGAAACAGGAACAGGGTTGGGATTCCAACACAGGCACTCGGACACAGTTAGCCAATGAACCAGACATTCATCACGTTCAATTTTCTTATCCGATAATTTTCTCCTCTCCCCATCCCCAGCTTTTTTCACCACTGACACCACGATTCTGGTGAACTATGCTTTTCATCTTCCACCTTTGGCATTCCTCCACCTTGTCTTCCAGAGGTAGAGAAGTACCAAAGAAATCAGATAACTCTGAGTAAAGCAGGAGGTTTAAGAGGCAGGAAAAACTAGGCTCTTAGGTAACTAAGCTGTAAATAATCAGAAACTAGATAGGTGTTCCTCTAAGGTTATTGAACTTTAAAATGAAATAAAAACTCCTGGAGATAAATGACCGAGGAGTTAATATGTTTGTGTACTTTCTCAGGACAATTAATAACGTGAACCTGTCAATACACTTATGGCGTAATGCTCTTAGGTGTGCCTGAGTGTGATAGTATTAAAAATTTAATAAGTATAGCTAGATCTTCCATCAGACATGGAATAGAAATGTAGGGTATCATGCTTTTTAGATTAGTAAGCCCATAACTAAATAGAACTACCATTTTAACCGTATAATTCACAAAGCACTTTATTATATACGTATCTGCTTTAAGTAGGGCAGATATGATTATCCTCATTTCCAAATAAGGAGACAGGCTTACAGAGATTTAATTGTTTTATCCCAGGTCACACAGCTAATGGGTGATTGAGACTCAGACCTAGACCTTCTGGTTCTAAATCTTAGGCATTTTTTACAACACACACAAGAAAACATTCCATCCTTATTGGAGCCAACTGGCCCTTGTAATACATTGGTTTCAGAGATAATTAAAAATGTTTTCCTTATAATAGTCCATGAAATTAGTAATAATTGCAAAACCCCTATTAGATGAACTAACCTGTTTTCATACTGAGGTAGAATCTTCCAAGAAAAAAGAAAAGAAGAGCCATTTTCACCACTGCTCTTCCTGTGTCCCACATGAAATCAGTAAATGTGTTCCTGACAGTGAGCTAGCCCCAGCTGCCGCATGCTTGTCAGTTGTAGTTAGTGAGAGCTCTTGCAACACTAGCCTGTGCACTGCAGCTTTACTAAAAAAAAAAAAAACAATGGTAAAGATGGACGTGCTCTCCACTGGCAGAGGCCTGTCTGATGATGAGGATGTCTGTGACGCTGTCTGTGCCCGTCTGCTTTCTGCCCTTGCACACAGTGGACACAGGAGACCATCCAGCAAGAAGAACTTGCCATCTGTTTGCACTACAGCGTCTCCCAGAACTTCCCACTCTTAGCAAGAGAGAGGGCATCAGTTATAGGTTATGAGAAATGTCCTTTTTCAGACTGTATTTATCTCACATCCATCCAGTTTCCAGGTGACTCACAGCATATTGGCACAGAACAGGCAGCCAAGTTAATGAATAAAGCAAAAGAATGGTCATGTTTCCTTCTCCTGTGTATTATACAATTGTAATGATCTATAAAAATTACAGTACAGGGATTTATCTTAACTCAAGTGACAGTTTAATGCATTACTACTGTTAATAAGAATGACTCTTTTAAGAAATACTTTTTTTATAATATATATATTTTTTATTAATTGCATTGCATTATGTGACACAGTTTCATAGGCTCTGGGGATCCCCCAACCCCTCCCCAGACCCTCCCCCCATGATGGATTCCTTCACCATGTTGCTGTATTACATTTCAAATTCAGTCAAGATACTTTCATTGCAAGAGTATACCAAGCACAGAAATACTTTTAAATATCCAAATGTGGGAAGAAACCAAGAACTTACCAAGGTGAAATGTTGATTTCCACAAATCTGAATGATTCCCTGCCTCTGTCATTAAAATATACTAATAGGGAATGGTTAAGTCCTATAATTTATTCTTCAAACAATGCTGATAGCATAAGTACTCTGACTAATCATAATTATGCTCTAGTGCTTGAGCTGTAAACAGAAAGGAAATGAAGCATTTAACTATAGGCCATTAAGTAATAGAATGATTTTGTCGGGGGGCTTTGTCTTATTTGCTAGGGATTGAAACCCTGCAGGAATCAAAATGGGAGCCACAGTAGGTGGCTAATTGTGTCCCTTAGTTTTTCAAAGCTATATAATAACTCCTCATAATGAGAATCCCCATGCCTTTCAAGAACCTTATGTATAAGCATTAATTAATTACAGCTTAATAGGTGATATTATGATTATAAATCCCCTTTTAGTCACTAGAAGTCATTGCCTTTATGTGATTTTCTTTTCTTTTTTTTTTTTTTTTGAGACTTCAAAAACCATCTTCAGATTGATTTCAAAAGAACACTGCCACTTTATGGATGAAGATACAGTGTTAAGTAATTATGCAAATGAAAGGCAGAAATAGACTGAAATTCCCATGTTGAATCTTGTTCTTCCAGTAATTTAACAAGTATTTGTTTAATCACAAATTCTTTGCGCTCTCACTGGACCGTGTTTCTGCCTTTGCACACTTGCCTAACTCAGTTTAAAATACTCCAGTTCTAGCTTGTTTTATAAACAGTAAAATGTAAAACAAACAAAAATGCATTTAAAAAATTCAGCTAGATAGGAGAAAGTTCAAGAAGTCTCTTATACAACATAATGTCTATGGTTAAAAACATCATATTAAAATTGCTAGAAGCATAGTTATTAAGTGTTTTCATCACACAAAAATGTTCAGTATGTGAAATAACATGTTTATTTTGCCATTTCACAATGTGAACATATTCCAAAATAGTATGTTCACTGTAAATTTATATAATTCTTGTCAAATTTAAAAACAAAATGACAAAATTTTTTAAAGGAGAAGACACATTTTAAAGTAAATACAAAAAGAAATTAACTGATAACCATTAGATATAAATTGCCATGAGTTTAAAAGATGCATTTTTACTGCATCCAAAACCTTTGATGCTCATCACTATGTTAGTGAATTCCATCCAGCACTGTGGTGGAGAACATGTTTATAAAATGATGCCTTCTAAGTGCTCAGAGGTTGTTGGGATATCACTAAGAAACAAAACACCTAGTCTTCCAGGGAGAGGGAGACACCTGCCATAGACTAAAGGCTCAGAGGAAGAAGTACAAGAGACTATCCTCATGCAGTAGACAGATTTCAGGAAGTTGGAGGGTGAGGGTCTGACATGTGGAGCTAGGAATTACAAACAGAGTGGGCGGTGCCTGCGATGGTGAACTGACTGATGAAGTCTGCCTAAGCAGTAATGAGGGATGGGCTGGATAAGTAAGGAGTCTGTTGTGGAAACTGGACTGTGAATGTCCAAAGAACGCTGTTATAGCTCTTCCTGTAGGCAGTGGGAAAATCTTAACTTTTGATACAAAATTTGGCTTTTTAAAGTTAAGATTTACATGGTACTGTTGGCAGTGAATGAAGGGGATGACTAAGAAAAAGCAAAATATAGATTGAGAAACATGACATAATCCAGTTTGGGGACTTTGATTAATGGTAACAGTAGGAGTCAAGAGAAAATACAAAATATCCCACAAAAGAAAGCAAATAAGTATCCCCTTATCTGCTGGGGATACAATGAATCCCTGCAAAACCACCTAGGCTGCTTTTCCCTTATATATATCTAAGATGATGTTCAATTTATAAATTAGGCTCAACAAGATTTTTAAAAAATATTTACTTGTTTTTATTGGAAAGGCAAATTTATAGAGAGAAGCAGAGACAGAGATCTTCCATCCACTGACTCACTCCCCAGATGGCTACAGCATCCAGAGTTGAGCCCATCCAAAGATAGGAGCCTCCTCCAGATTTCCCACATGGATGCAGCATGGGAAGTGGAGCAGCCAGGACATGAACCTGTGACCTCATGGGACCCTGGTGCTTGGAGGTGGAGGATTAGCCAGCTGAGCCACTGCACTGGGCCCTTAGTAAGGTATTAACAACAGCTTTTGAAAATAGAACAGTTGTAGCAACACACTGTAACACAAGTCATGGGATGTGGTTAGTCTCCCAGTCTCTGTCAGTCTCTCACTACAACATACTCACCATTCTTATTGACCCTGGATAAGCAAAACAAGACTAGAGGACTGTACCATACTTGGTCAGCTATAGGGTAATAAAAACAGTTGCTCAAATTTACATTGAGCTCCTGAAACAATCGAAAATATTGTGTGGCACTACTAAGGTACCCCAAAACTATGTTTCTATTCCAGAAAATGGCATTATGAATAAGGTGCTTTGAATAGATCACAGAGCTATAGCTGTAATTTGACAAAAACAAACACCTTCATGTTTTATTGTGGCTGCTTAGGAAAAATTCTTGTACTCAGATTGGGCACACAAGACTTGCAGAATATTATTTTAAAAAGTTGAGTGCTGGGCAGATATTGGTGCCTTTCTATAAAAGGTAAAAACATCTCATCAGAAGTAGAGCTATCTAGAAATAATTATCAAAAGTTCTGCTTTTTAGTCGAAAGATGAAATCTTATGAAGCATGAAGGAAACTCACTAAAAGAGTATTAGCACACTTAATTTGGAAACCTGTGGGAAAAAATGATCAAATCTTAGGTAATTAAATATTTTTAACCACTGATTCATTTTGGAGATATCAATATCACAAATATCTCTGTATGTGCTTGGTTGGCAAAAGAGAGATTGACTGTTACATAAAATAGGTTTTAGCTGATGAGAGTGTGGTGACCTTCTTCTACAGGTTATATAATTTAGTTGCATAACTTTAACAGGTCACGTGCATGATAGTAACTGAACTTATGTATCCTGAGTAAGTAAACAAACGTATTTTTCTACCTGTGTCACTTTATCTAAACGTAAACTGAGAAGCCTGATCTTTTACACTTTTTCATGATTGTCTCTCCTTGTGATTGTTATTCTTCATATTTTATCCTTTTTTTTTTCTCAACTTCAGGTCAGTTGTGAATCGGCCTTTGTATGTGGTGGATTGAATAATTTGGAGAACAGTTGTCAAAAAATGTACCTAGAGACTGGCTTGTTTCCTTCAAGGCCCTTAGTTGCCCTGATTAGGTCACTAACACTTATCTCCACCAGGCACACCTGCTGGAGATCTGATGCAAGCCACTTACTTCTCTCCAAGGAAACACATCCAATGGAGTGGCTAGGTCCAAAAGCTGTATTGTGTACTTAACCTCTTAAAAAATCCTTTAAATCACCCACCAAATACTCATGCATACTTTCTATTGCACTATTGTAAATCTGACACAGCCCTGGATTTTCCCCCCCACTCTAGCCTTGTATTTCAGTGTGGAAACAGATGAAACAATTAGCTTGCACCCGGAAAATGCTAGATGGAAAAAAAAGACACTTTTGTTTTCCCAAGAGAGTATATCTGAATTTGCACCATTTGTTGGATCAACACTGATGTAATTTGTGTATTCTTCTCTGGAATATTTCTTTGATATAAATTTCTATCCCTATTTCAAAGCCTTCACTGAGAGTCCCCAACAACATTTATTCTCTTTCCTGCCACTCACACAACCACTTGCTCTCCCAACAGGGCCATCACACTTGGGAACAACCCCACTGGAGTGTGTGACATCTGGCTAGACTGACTGCTCATCTTCATTGCTGTTATCTTCTAACCTCATTTTGGTCACTCAGTGTTGTCATTCTTGTCCCAAATTTTACCATGATCTTGTTTCACTTTAGCTTGTGAACTTATTGTATTCTCTGCCCTCTTCATTCCTGGTTCTCTCCTTATCTACAGTGATGTCTAGTCCATTTCACCCACCAACTCCAATGGGCACAGTCCCTTGGGAAACATCACACGTAATAGCTCATTCTCTGAGCTAGTCCCAACTCCTAAATTTCCATATGCACTTGATTCCTGGACTGCATAGAGACCTGTTCCCTCTGACCTTTCTTTCTGGTCAACCTTCTCCCACCTTTGCTTCTCTTCCTGTACAGGGTAGGCTCCATCACATCCTTTGTCTTTCCCTCTCTGTGGTCCTCTGCAACCTGACTTCTCTCACCAGGCCACTGAAACTGCCCTCTTCAGAGATACAAACAACTGCCTTGTTGTTGTTGTCACTTAATATTTTGTGTGCCACTAGATTTTTACACTGAATTTTTAAAATATGTATTTCTTTTCATTGGAAAAGGTAGATTTACAGAGAGAGAGAGAGACAGAGAAAGATCTTGCATCTACCGGTTCACTCTCCAGAGCTAAGCCTATGGAGCTTCTTCCCAGTCTCCCATGCGGGCATAAGGTCCCAAGGCTTTAGGCCATCCTCCATTACTTTCCAAGGCCACAAGCAGGGAGCTGGAAGGGAAATGGAGCAGTCGGGGTACAAACCAGAGCCCATTTAGGATCCTGGCACTTGGAAGTAGAGGATTAACTAGTTGAGTAATGGTGTCAGCCCCTGAATTGTTTCTTTTTAAAATTCTAAGTTCTGCATGTTTTAAACTGATCTTACTAAAAGTAGTTTTTAGCATTGGTTATCATTTAAAATTTTCTTAAAATTTAATAGAGAGGGAAGGTGAGAGTAAGAAAAATCTGCCAGGGCTCCCCAAATTCCTGCAATAGCTTGGGCGGGGCTCACTGTGAGTATCAAGAGTCCAAGAACTTGGGTCATCATCTGCCTGCTGCAGTGTACATTAGTGGGAATACTGGTGGCTGGACTCAAGAGCGGAGGCATTACTTGAACCAAGCACTACAATAAAAGATGCAGGTATCTCAGATATCTTAGCCATTCTGCCAAATGTTCACATTAAATGTTATCATTTTATGAGCTAAATGATACAGTAAGTTTTTTTCCTTTTCAGCTTTATTACTAAAAGTTACTTCTCCCAAAATAGGCAAATGAGGTCATCCAGCTCTATTTAAATTGATTGACAGTATGCTATAATTAAACACAGAAAATGTTATGTACATAATATGTATTTCTATGGCATTCATTTTCAAATCAATATTCTTGTTTTGCAGTTGAAGCTTTATATCAAACTACATACCCAGAATATCTTCAGTACATTTATCTGGTGGCCCCAATATCTCTTATGATGTTAAATCCCATCGGGTTTATCTTCTGTGAAATCCAGAAGTCGAAAGATGCTCAAAGTACTTCTCAAAACAAAGTAAAAATTGTGGGACTTGGATTTCTCCGTGTGCTACAGAACCCAATAGTGTTTATGGTGTTCATTGGTATTGCCTTCAATTTTATTCTTGATAAAAAGATTCCTGTATATATGGAAAATTTCCTTGATGGACTTGGAAATTCTTTCTCTGGAGCAGCCCTGTTTTATCTTGGTCTCACCATGGTGGGAAAAATAAGGAGACTGAAGAAGTCAGCATTTGTTGTACTCATTCTTCTCATCACAGCCAAACTGTAAGTTTACTTATTTGTCTTGGGAATTATACACTTCATCAACGCCTGAATGTTAGTGATTTCTCCCCACAAAGTAGTTGTAATTTCACGGAAAGTGTGACATTGATGTGTGCTAGAAAGAGGTTTACTTATTCCAGGCATGATTACCCTTCCATTTTATTCTAAGGATACAGATGATTGATCTCCCTTCAGCTTCTTTATGTTTCTTTAATATCTCCTAATGTCACAGAGCATTTTAAAATGAATTTTGCAGGATTTGAGCTCCATTACAATCTTGCAGTACAAAATATCTTAGTCATAATGATTACAATAACTTACAACAAATTTTTTCCTGACTTGAGAATATATTCTGTGATCCTCAGTTTGGTTGAACTTTCATTTTTTAAAAGATTTATTTATTTTTATTGGAAAGGAAGATTTTTCAGAGAGAAGAAAAGACTGAGAAAAAGATCTTCCATCTACTGGTTCACTCCCCAAGTGGCCGCAATTGCCAGAGCTCAGCTGATCCAAAGCCAGAAGCTTCTTCTGGGTTTTCCATGTGGGTGCAGGATCCCAAGGCTTTGGGCCATCCCCTACTGCTTTCCCAGGCCACAAAGGGAGGTGGATGGGAAGTGGAGCAGCTTGGATATGAAACCAGCGCCCATATGGGATCATGGCGCTTGCAAGCCTAGGACTTTTGCCACTAAGTTACTGCACTGACTCCTTGGTTGAAATTCCCACATCTTGGTAAATTAGTAGGAATATTATCAGCTATCTGATTCCAACTTATCAAATAAGAAGTTCTTGTTAACTCTTTAGTATTTCTTTACTTTACTTGACCCCTTAGCTGTGAAGTACATTTCAAAATGCAGTTGACATAATTTACTTGCAAGATTATCCCAGAGTATCTGAGGTATATTTAACTATGAAATTCAGCTCTTGCATAGATAAATTCATAAATGTGTGATGATATAGTACTTATAGTTTTCATTTTAGTTGAGAGAAATCTGCTGGCTCATTTCTGAAATGCCCACAACCCATAATAGCCAGGGCAGGATCAGGCCAAAGTCAAAAGTCTAAAACTCGATTTGGGTCTTTCAGATGGGTGGTATTTGAGACATCACCCACTGCCTCCTAGGGTATGTAGAGTCTGTCGAATCCAAGCACTCTCACACAGGCTACAAACATCACAAGCAGTGATTTGACTATGGTACCAAATGCCTGCCCCTATATTTTCAAAATAAATCAGTACAAACATAAATTCTGAAAAAATGCTTGTGGTGTTATGCTGCTCAGGAAAAAGTACATTAAATATATTGTTACAGTATGAAAAGTGATTCTAACAATAATAGTATAGTATTATCAATTTATAAGCTTATAAGTAAAATTTAAATATTTACTTTAAAACATTTTTCTTGGTTTTTGGTTCTAATGAAATGCACAATTCTCTTTTAATTAAAAAAGAAATAAGGATTGTTCAGAGAGTCTGTGGAAGAATGGGGTTTAAAGAAAAATTTATTTTGATGCCAAAATTTTTGAAAGATATACATAGCAAAAATCTTCAAAGAACGAATGGAAAATGTGTTTTGTGAGAAAATTATATGTGGATTTTTATGCTTTTTGGCACCAAAAGGAACTTCTCATTTAATTCCATGTGGACTGTTCTTTTCTTCCTTGCAGGGTGTCTTTCCATGTGCTGCTGTGATAGTGTTAGCGACCTTGGGCTCTGTTTCTAAGGGAGAGCTTAGCTACTATTGATGGGCTCTTTCTCAGATCTGAAAGGCTTTGTTTAATAATCATGTCTTCACCAGATCTGGACTTCACAAACTATGACTCTGCTTAATCCACTTCCGTTTTGTTGCTAACCTTTTCTTCTATACACAGAGGCGAAGAGCTCATTGGAACATGTATTTTTTCTACTAATTTTGAGATTCTTCCGGAGCGGCACTGTTAACAGTCACTGAACCTCTAATCTTAATAAAGTTCAGCTTTTGTTTTTAAGTTTTGTAGTTTTCTTCACGTAGTTTCCTACTCAAGCTGCCAGTCTTTTCGTCTTTGCTTCTAAACACTTCAATGCACCAATAAGGAAGTCAGAGAGCACTTACAATTGTAACTTTTACCATTATTTGTAGAAAATCATTTGTAGGACAAAGTGTATCTGTTGTTTTCTCCTCTTAATTCCCAATGTTTGAATTGTTTTCAGAATATTATTACACTATAGATGGTTCCAGAGCTCAAAAACTAAAAAGACAGGAAAAAAAAGGAGGGGAGAGGGAAGTGGAAGGGAGTATCATTATGTTCTTGAAATCGTATCTGTTAAAAAAAAAAAAAACTAGTAAGAACTGAGAACAAATAAAGAAATGGCACCCAGCTACATTCTGAATTCTTTCAACAAAATGTTCCTAAGTATGAATGCACAAAAGATATGCATATAGATAGACGTCTGAGCAGAAGAATATACAGTCAAGTTTGTTAGAGGAACCTACAACTAAGGACCAGCATGCTTTGCTGTCAAGTACATTATACATTTCCTGTTTCTTCAGCCTGGTACTGCCACTTATTTGTAGAGAAATGGTGGAACTCTTGGACAAGGGCGACAGTGTAGCGAACCATACAAGTTTATCGAATTACGCGTTTTTGTATGGCGTCTTTCCCGTAGCACCAGGAGTGGCTATCTTTGCAACGCAATTCAACATGGAAGTTGAGATCGTAAGTATAAACTGTTTTCTAACTTTGATTGTTTCTGTGGCTAAGAGAACAATGAATTTTTAAATCGCAGAAAGCAACATTCTATTTATATAAATAAAGAATTGGATATTTGTAAACGGCTTCATTGTAAGTAAGGAAGCATCATATAATACCATGTAATAATAGTTATTTAACCTGAGGTCTTTTACTCAGCCATATCTTTTTTCAAGTGTTTTATGTACTGATACCTAATCCTAATCAATTTTAAAAGTTATTTTCAGACAGTTTGGAAATTTTAAGGAAAAAAATCTATTTCATTCATAGATAAATCAACTGTGAAATACAAAATACCACATAATCACTTAATCATCTGTAACATATAGCTAAAATCAGCTAACACCACAGTATTAACAGTGTTTAAGAGCATTAAAATATTTTGAAATGTAATATGAAGAAACCTAGTTGTTCAATGAAAGTCAATTACATTATTTAATCTGTGAATGGTATGGAAAGAAACTCTTCATCGGTTTCTTTAAGTCATTGGTATAATATGCTTCCTAGCACCTAGAGGACACCTGGTGGAATTTCTTACTTTTATGATGTGTAATCATTAGTTGAGCCTAGACTGGAGGAGGAATCAAGGAATTTTTAAAGACCCTCAGGAAGGGGAAATAGGGTATTGGACAACCTGCTGGATTCTGTAACATCTGTACTGGTTCTCATTTTTGTTTTAAGATACATTCATATTTAGTGGATGTTTCAAAGGGTAAGGTAGTTGTTTAAAGGTTGTGACTCCTCAGTTTGTTTTCGATTTTGCAGGTAACCTCAGGGATGGTGATAAGCACATTTGTGTCTGCTCCTATCATGTATGTTTCTGCCTGGTTACTGACCTTTCCCTCTATGGACCCCAAGCCATTGGCATATGCCATTCAGAACGTTAGCTTTGACATAAGTATTATCAGCCTAGTTTCCCTGGTAAGTATATTTCTGTGTGAGTCTTAATGGAAACTACAGAATGAGTGCTTCCATAGAAATAGAAAAGGACTTCAAAGTTAAATTTCTTAGGAAATCGAGAAAGCTGAAGCCTCCTCATCAAGTGAATTGCCAAGCTTCTGAGTTCTTGTTTTTCCACTGGGAATTACACTTATATGGCAGACAAAGCAAGACATTTGGTTAAACCTGGATTTGACTCAATATAACTGTATGACTCTAAAAAGTCACGTTTATCGGCTATAAAATAAAGATGGTAGTTTCACCTATTTCCCTGGATTGTTTTTAAAATTAAATGAGATAATACTATGTGAAAAGCATTCTTCTAGGGAAGAATCATTGTACCAACACTAGCTGTTTTAACATCCTATGTTCAGAAGGGATTTGGGGGCTCAGTTTCAGTTGCTCAATTAATGTTAAATCATTAACTTCATTCTCAAATTGAAATATATTGGGCCCTGCGCGATAGCATAAGTGGTTAAAGTCCTCGCCTTGAATGGACTGGTTTCTCATATGCACGCCGGTTCTAATCCCGGCAGCCCCGCTTCCCATCCAGCTCCCTGCTTGTGGCCTGGGAAAGCAGTCGAGGATGGCCAAACCCTAGGGACCCTGCACCAGTGTGGGAGACCTGGCCCCTGGCTTTGGATCTGCGCAGCACTGGCCATTGCACTCACTTGGGGAGAGAATCATCAGACCGAGGATCTCCCTCTCTCTCTCTTTCTCTCTGTATATCTGATTTTGCAATAAAAATTTTAAAATCTTTAAAAAAAGAATATATTTATATTAGGTATTTAATAACCACAGTATTTTATAGACCAAGTTGCCTATTGAATTTGAACACCAGTCTAGCTGGAAAGAAAAGACTGTGTGCTGGTAAATACATCTTTGGCAACAAGCAAATGTATGATTAGGTCATTCATTAGAAATCCTATTTCCTCTCACATTTTCAAAATCTTGCCATTTTTAAGAGGGCAGTTTAAGAGGACCGTCTATATGAATTTCTTTATCTGGCGGCTATGAGGACTATAAGACAGTTAATCTTAGGGTAAGGGGACAGAATGCTTATACAGAATGTTTAGCTAACTCATCAGCCAATACAGCATAACGCAAAGTGGAAAACCTTAGAATCATGCATTGTATTTATATATCCCTCTAAAACTTTTTCTTGACTTATGGGCTATGACCCTTTGTCCCACCCTAGACCCTGAGTTATGCATTGTTAGAACATGGTCCTGATCAAGACATTAGTTATTTTTTTTATTTTGAGGTTTATTTTTATTGGAAAGTCAGATATACAGAGAGAGAAGAGACAGAGAGGAAGATCATCTGTCCAATGATTCACTCCCCAAGTGGCCACAACAGCAGGAGCTGCGCTGATCTGAAGTCAGGAGCCAGGAACTTCTTCCAGGTCTCCCAAGTAGGTGCAGGGTCCCAGGGCTTTGGGCTGTCCTTGACTGCTTTCCCAGGGAGCTAGATGGGAAGCAGGGCAACTGAGATTAGAACTAGCGCCCATATGGAATTCTGTCACGTGCAAGGTGAGGACTTAAGCCACTAGGTACCTCACTGGGTCGAAGATATTAGTTCTTAAAGATCCTGTCATTTATGGACAGTTAATTTACTGTGGGATTCCTCCAAGCTTTATATTTTATTTTGGATATGGTAATTTACCCTACTACCTTTTTGGGAACTAGACAAGTTTAAGTAAATAAAATGCTAAAGTTTCTGTCTGAGCCAGTATAAAAAGGATTCTTTGAAGTTGCTAATCAGTATGTTATTTAATAAGTAATTATTAAGATCAATAAACATTAATAATTTTGAATCTTTTGTCTTCAAGATCTGGTCTCTGGGTATTCTTCTTTTAAGTAAGAAATATAAGCAGCTTCCTCATATGCTTACAACAAACTTACTCATTGCTCAGGTTAGTATATTTACAGACATTTAGAACTATGCTTTTCTTGTGGGTGATTCTACTGTTGATGAGAAAAGCACTTTGTGAAATTTTCCCAGCTGTGAAGTCAGAAGTATTACCAAAGGCAGATCAATTAACATTCTATTAACATTAGTTTAGTTTATGCCTAGCATATAAATACTGCCTTAGGTCTTAGATTATCTAAAGTTGAGGCTAATGATAGCATTTAATGATAACTTGGTATTCTTTAAATCATTAAAAATTGAATTCTTGAATTTTTTTTTAAAGTTTTGCGTGTCTAAAATTGTCAGGGAAAGAAGACTGAACTTTTCTGTGAATTCCATTGCTAAATATGAGGCTGATATTTAGAATATATATATATTGCCAAAGGCTCTATATAAAAAGGGGTTTTGAAATCATAAATCCAAGGTTTTGCTATAACTAATATGTATTAATGACTAGTTATTAGTTAATTTCTCTACAGTAACTTAAACTGAGCAATTATATTTGTTGTAAATAAAACATGAGTAGACTGGCTTACAGTTTTTTCTGTGATAGTACTGACTCATGGTTTTCTTAGCTATTTACAGTCTTTTAATAATTTTTTCTTTAGTCTGTTGTCTGTGCTGGAATGATGCTATGGAATTTTGTTAAAGAAAAAAATTTTGTTGGACAAATTCTGGTGTTTGTTCTGTTGTACAGCTCCCTCTATAGCACCTACCTGTGGACAGGTAAGTTGGATAGTGAATAGGAATTGAGATCTATTCTCCCTTTCCCCATCCCTAGAAGCCCTGAGCTTTTAGGGTTTTATTTGAAGTTGTGTAGTACAGGATTAAAGTGTTCAATCGAGCAAGTACAGCCACCATCACAGGCAGACTACAAAGATGAGTTTTATTTCCTGATTGGCAGGCTCTGTGGCTCCAGGCCACTCATAGCCAAGGGGACAGGCACTGGAGGCAGGTAGGGAAGTGCAAGAATGGACAGAGGTGGGTGAAGTGTGTCCTGGAGCTCACGATTAGACTATGACTCAAAAATTTGGCTCTGCTTTAAGTGACTTCACATATCTGTAAGACAGCATTACAGCATCTTACACGGTTATTTTGAGGATGAAATGAAATATGGGTATTTCTGTCTGGTACATGATAGGCCCTCGGCAAACAGGGAGAGAAGGTAGAATGAGAATAATACAAGTAGGAGGATAAAAAGAGTATGGTAATCAAGGAGTACCTGGTAAGATAGACTGTTCCTCATTTCAACTGGCTTCAAAGAGTATTCAGAATGTTTCAGTACATGCAGTGCTTTTGGAGATGTAACATTTACCTGTGTGCATGCATTCCGGTATGTTTGTAAAAACAACCCTGTCTAGCTCTTTTATATTCATATCACAAATGTGAACCTGTAGAAAGGCACATAAAAGGAAGTTGTAGGATGGTAAGAGACAAATATCAGGAAATGTCTGCAAAGGAAGACCTTTGATTTCATGCCTCCAGGATCAAAAGGAGGTTGCATCTACGTCAACAGCCTTTTGAAGCGAAACAGTGTGGTGAGGAGAGGAATTTCAGAATGAAAACCTCAGTGGAAACGGGAGACAATGTATGATTCTTAGAGGAAAGTACACCTTGTAGAGCATGATGGTTGGCATGAAATGTCAAGCTGAAAAAGCCTACAGACAATTTCTAAATACAGATGGGCCAACTTGATGTCTGATACTTAGGTATATTCAAATTAACCTGGAGAGAATGACAGCATCAGATCAGTATGTCAAAAAGCTCCAAGCCTTTCAAACATACATAGCAGAATCCACCCAAAGATGTTATTTTGAAATCCATAACCCCTAGGAAGATGCCCTTTAACCTTCAATGCTATAACCGAATTTTGAAGTCTAGCTGTGGCTCCTTTCTAGAGAGCTAGTATATAACTCTAAAACCAAAGCAGAATCACAGATTTTATGCCCAAACAAAACTATCAACCTAGAAATTCTAATTAACAACTTTAATTAACATGGCAAATTGTGTAAATCAGTGCTTAAAATCTCAAATGGATTTCACTGCCCCCAGTGTGGCTCTTTGAGTCCGACTTGCCTTTGCTTGCAGTTTTATGACCTGGTTATCTCACGCACTGCTTGTCTTTCTTCACATTGGCACAGTGCCTGCGTTTGAGCTGCATGGCATGCTATGGTTCCATGTGGCCTTCCTTTGATTTAACTGTAATAAAAAACCAAATGCAGGCCCTGAAGTCATGAGACTGTATTTTGGTTGCAAGATGGACATACAGATGATTTTCATCAAAAATAAACCAGAAAGACTTCAAATTCCTTGCAGAAATCCCCAAATGCTGAAGAATATGTCTTAGGAACCACATAGTTCCACGATTCTGTGTGAAACACTGAAGGTTCCAAACCTTACCTTGCGGTTGGGTTTCTGGTCTAGTTCTGCCCTCTGCTGGCTGCTTGCTTTGGCAAACCCTGTTTGCACATGGATAAAATGAAGGCATTACTGCAAAAATTTTTCTTCCAACACTAAAGTTCTTATGTAGCTATGTAGAATTCATCAAATAAGATGTTTCTTGTACTTTTCATAACACATGTTTTCAGTGAACTTGGTATAAAGTATAAGTTCAAGATTTTTGCCACATGTAAAAATTGTCTACATTTCATTTCACCAACACAGTAAGAGTATCTTTATTTTTAGAATATTTGTGTTTACAGTTTTAGATTTTAAAATGTTTTGAAATGATTTGGGTTTCTGAAAAAAAATCCTCACACATAAAACCAGATTTGAGGAAAGAAACATGATAGGGGTGATGACATGAATGATTTTGGATTAAGAAACTTGTTGCAAACTATCGGGGACATTATTTTCAAGGTGTAAATTCTTGGGCAAAAAATTATAGTATTAAAATAAACTTGGTGTAAAATAAGGAAACAAAATCCCGTGGAATCTGATCAATGTCCATGTGTCTCATTTCTAGGTCTTCTAGCAGTTTCTTTGTTTCTTTTGAAAAAGCGAGAGAGTGTACAAATCCCAGTTGGAATCATCATAATATCTGGCTGGGGGTGAGTTGGTGATTTTGTGTTTGCTTTCATGTTTCCATATGTGCAGTTATTCATTTTTGATTTTCTCTCTCAATAACCCTTGTTGTTACAGAATTCCTGCCCTCCTTATTGGTGTTCTTTTGATAACGGGAAAGCACAATGGAGATAGCATTGACTCAGCTTTCTTTTATGGAAAAGAGCAGGTGAGAAGAGTTTTTTGGCAGTTCTATTCTTAAGAACATCTCTTTTCAGCTTGATAATGTACCTTGTTATAGTTACCTTAAACTAACCTTGAAAACTTCTTTCAACTTATTACATATATTCTGATAATCCCATATTACTTTGTCAGACCTAAAAATATGTTGAACATTTTGCATATCTAATTCTATTTTTAGCAAAAGATTTCTAAATCCTTAAAACTTACCGAGTGTTCTTTTAAGCACACTTGTGAATTATGTTTCCTCTCTTGGTGGAATGATCAACTAAAGCCATCTAATAAGGTTGCAGTAATTGCAAAGATCAACCCCCCTTTTTTTCTCTACAAGTAACGTACATTTTTTTTTTACTTACTCTTACCCATCTTTAAGAACCCCTCTTCTGGAGTACTTATAGCTGTAGATATGTAATTTCTACACATACACACACACAAAAGTTGCCCTTAGACTATACTACTAAGAACACCAAGATGAGTTTGTGAAAGGTGCTTACTGCCTGTTTCTGATGTTGACAGATGATCATCACGGCAGTCACCCTGTTCTGCAGCATCGCAATCGCCGGCATATCGCTCATGTGCATGAACCGCACTACTCAAGCTGGGCGCTATGAAGGCTTTGACCAGTCTCAGAGCCACAAAGCCACAGACCCTGACAATGCTATTTTTGAGGAAAGTCCAGCACCAACAAGTGAACCAGAACTTTTTACAAGTTCCATGCCAGAAACAAGTATGATCCTTAAATATATAAACTGTTACATGTCTTTTTAAGGAAAAAAAAATATTTTACAATATTTATTTTGCTTTATTTTATTTGAAAGGCAGAGATACAGAGACAGAGAGAGATCTCCAATCTGCTGGTTCACACCCCACATGTCTGCATCAAAGCCACGAGCTGGGAATCCAACCCGGGTCTCCCATGTGTGTGGCAAGAACCCAAGCACTTGAGCCATCACCTGCTGCCTCCCAGGGTGCGCATTGGCAGGAAGCTGGAATTGAGAGCAGAGCCAAGACTTGAATCCAGGCGCTCCGATATGGAATATGGATGTCCCAAGTGGCATGTTAACCATCCAGCCAAATGCCTGCCATATGACATGCCTTTATAGCGTAGATCCTAAATGTTTCATTTAGTAAACATCATTGAGCTAATCTAATCTCATAGATGTTTGTTAAATTAAGAACTTAAATCCTAGTCAATAATAGCACTTATAAATTCATTCATTAGATTTTTATTTTATAAGTGTTTTTGTGAGGATAATCTTTTTCTAAATTCTGATACTTCCTTGGACCGGAGGGTTTGGAAAGAAGTTATAACTGAAGAAAGGCATACTTGCATTAGATATTTTTCTTTTTAAAAAAGAAATGTAACATTAGGAGTAAAATTGAAATCTCTAGACTGTATTCCATTCTTGTTAATTTTGGAGATAACCAGTAGTACGAATTTACTCTGTATCCTCCCAGAACAGTTTCTTATGCTCAATTAGTGCATTGCAATCAGTATTTTCAGATGTCTATTCATGTCATAGATGTGTCCAAGTATATGAATGTGCCAAATTTTATTTATCCATTCACATACTGATGGATATTTAGGTTGCTTTAAGATAGCCTCCTGTTAGAAAAAATGTTGCAGTAAATATCTGTATTCATATCTCCTTGGGTAAACAGCAGGATTACTCATGGCATGGTAATGACTGGGTCATAGGACATAGATATGTTTGTGTGGCTTCACTGTGAACCCTCGCATATGATTCCCAAAGCTGGATCCCTACTGTGATGTCCTTAAATAGGTCCAATCCCAGTATTTCTGCTGCCTACACACACATTGCTTACATCTCTGAGTATACAGCTAGCATTTATTTAGTCCTTTTCTTAAATTATTTTTCCACTCAAGCTTCAGCACTTTTTTTTCGCCTTTAGTTGTTCCACTGTCCTGCAAGACTCTTGGGTCTCAACATCTGTTTCCCCTTCAGCTACCTTGGTTACTCTGGGCATGTCGTTCTCCTTTCATAAGGTCATCCATTTCCCCTTGACTTCCTCCAGCACTTCTCCTGAACCATGCTCTAACACCACATTCTCCTCCTTTGGCCTCCAGTTTCTGCTGGCTTCTTGTAATTCCCTCTTAACCTGGCTACCTGTGTGCCAGCATCCTCTGACCCAGTCTGTTTTCTGAGAAATGGACAAGTTTACCTCTAAGGATTTCTGGTCACTAGTCACGCTAGACTCTGATGCAGAGTCAGTGATGGCCTTGCAATACCTATAAGGTCCCAGACCTTCCTGTGGTACTCCAATCCTTTTCATGGCTTCACCATACCCTTATCAGACCTGTGCCCCTCCTGTTCTCCTTCACACCTTCCTGCGGGCACTGGAGCCCCCTCCATTCGTGAACCATACCGGCACTTGCATGTCACTGCTCACCTTATGCCTCTACCTCACAGCCTTTCAGCATGGAGCTCACTAACTTCTCTGCTGGGTCATTTGTGATTATATCATCAGAATTTCACTCTTTGGAGCTTGTTCACTTTCCATTATAAAACTGAATTTGAAGTTTAAAAATGATGGACAATCTCTCTGTCACCATGCCTTTTAAGTGCATATATATTTAAAATATTTTTTCACACTATGTTTAAAAGATATATTTTTAGAAATTAGAGATTTAAAAATTATTTTTGCATCCAAATAAATTCATGCTTTGACTCTGTTTCTCCATAAACTTTTTAAGTACCTTTGTATGTTTTCTTAGTAATTTTATCTTAGCTGTTTTAAACTCAAGTTTCTGAAGAGGGCTGGCCCAGATAATCTCTTTATTTTCTTTCCTATTATTCTGTGTTCTATTTTAACCTTGAGATGGCATCATTATCTTAAATTTAAAAAGACGTTTACAATAGCTTATTATAGATTGTCATTTTTATACCTGGAAATCTCTTTTATTTTTAAGAACATCAGTGAAGAATTTAAGCACACTATCAATGGAAGGCTCAGCCTAAGAATTATTCATTTTTCTAGCATATAAAATCTTAACAAGTTTGTCACTGAAGTCATTATTGTATTATACTCTATGACAAGGAGCTGCATACCTGTACTCGCGTGTGTGTAAAATTTGGAAGGGGCACCACGTGCAGTTCTTTGTAGTGGGGAAAAATTCTAGCTTCTTAGATGCTTCAGTGTGACTTCTGCAAACCAATTCATCTGCAAACTAGTAAGAGATTTTAGTCAGTACATATTAGAAAAAGTATATAGTTTTATGGAATCTTCTAGAATCAGAGAATTTCTTGAAAGAAGTGATTTTTTTAATTTAACTTAAGGACAAGGAGGATTTAGATGAATTCACAGATATAGGAATTCCATGCTTGTCAGCCTGGGTCCTTAGAAGTCTCCAAATAAATATGTAGGAGACCCTAAAGAATTGTCCTGAAAGAAGGAAAGGCTTTCATGGAAAACTTGCAAATTCAGATCAGGGAGTTTTCATTTACTATAGCGCTCATTAGAGCGTGTGTGTGTGTGTGTTTGTGTGTGTGTGTGCAGTAATGAAATAAAAGCTGTGTTAGGAAGGTGTTTTTATTCTTACTTGCCAAAGCACAGTAGGCGCTAATAAAATGGCATGGATAAGAGCATTTTCCCTGTCTTACACAATGAAGAAATGACATGGAAAAAAGCAGACACTTTGTCTGGAACTTTTTACATCTTCCTTTCTGTGCAGGCATAATTGAAAACTCCTTGATAGTTATCATGTGAAAGCATTTCCACTGCATAAGACATGCAAGTTGACTAGATTTTATTTTGTAACTAGAACTTGTCCATTTCTGTTGTCACGTGTTACTTCATCTCTGCAGGTTGCTGTTCCTGCTCCATTGGAAATGGTGAACTGCACTGCCCATCAGCGGAGCCCGGAGCAAATACAAGCACCAGTAGACCTGCGACTCCTTCGTTTGAGAAAAGTAAGTGCCCCTGGCTGTACAGTGGGCTGAAAGACAGATGATTCCTTATCCCTAGGCTTCAGAAGAACTCCGGAATTTCTCTATGAGCTGTAACATAACAGAACACTCTTTGAGAACAGACTTCCCCAGTGAGATGGGGAAAGCGCTAACAGGATAATAGTCATGCATAGAAAGAATGTTCATTTAAAAACATTAAGTTTGGGTAACTGGCACTGTGGCATAGCATGTTAAGTAAGCCATGCCTGTGACACTGGCATTCCATATGAATGCCAGTTTCTGTCCTGGGTGCTCCACTTCTGGTCCAACTTCCTATTGCCTTGGAAAGCAGCAGAAGATGGCCTAAATCCTTGGGCCTCTTCCACTAACATGGAGAAACCTGGCTGCTGCCTTTAGCCTGGCCCAACCCCAATTTTGTGGCCATTTGGAGGGTGAACTAGCAAGTGGAAGATCTCTGTCTCCATCCTTCCCTCCTTCTCTGTAACTGCCTTTCAAATAAATAAATGTTTTACAAATTTTTATATACATAAATGTACTGTACATATACATGTTTTCTAATAAATCTAAATTTGCCCTAAAGACTACACTCTTTATTTTTTTTTTTTACTTATTTTCTTGTTTTAGAAACTGAGACATCCCCCCCATATGTCTCTTCACACCAGGATAGTTAATTAACTCTTAATTACATTTTGAATCTTTATACTTTCAATATGCTTTTCCTTATATGAGAAAACACCTTTTTAAAAGTAATAGCCTTTAGGCATAGAAATTAAGAGACTGAATCATGTTTGTGATCTGAATTAAGATGTATTTTATTTCTTTGAAAGGCAGAGCGATGGAGAGAAAGAGCACTCTTTCATCTACTAATTGACTCCCCAGATGGCTATAACTACTGGGACTGAGCCAGGCTGATCCAGGAGCCTGGATCTCCATCTGGGTCTTACATGTGGGTGGCAAGGGCCCAAATATTTGGGTCATCCTTGCTACTTTCCCAGATCCTTTAGAAACTAACTGGATCTGAAGTGCAGCTGGTTGGACTAGTACTGGTGCTCCAATATGGGATAGAGCTATCACAGGTCATGACAGCCAACTGTGCCACAATGCTGACCACAGTAACTATTTTATATATATATAATATATAATAATTGGACCCAGCGCAGTAGCCTGCTAGCTAAATCCTTGCCTTGTACACTCTGGAATCCCATATGGGCGCCAGTTTGTATCCCAGCTACTTCACTTCCCATCCAGCTCCCTGCTTGTGGCCTGGGAAAGCGATGACACAAAACCATGGGACCTTGCACCCACATGGGAGACCCAGAAGAGGCTCCTGGTTCTTGGCTTCGGATTGGCTCACCTCTGACCATTGTGGCTAGTTGGGGAGTGAAGCATCAGACAGAAGATTTTTCTCTGTCTTTCCTTCTCTCTGTAAATCTAAATGATGAATGCAAATCTGTGAGCCCAGGATATAGTTTACTTAAAATACTTACTAACTAGAGTGTAGCAATAAAAGTTGCTGTTATGACATGAGATTTATAGTTAGCTTCTGTCTGCTGCCTAGGAATGAATTTCAAATAATGGGAGAATTCACAGTTCCCCAGAAAGAGGTAAAAATAAATCAAATGTTGAGATTTCACTCTGCCTTCACTCACCCCTTCTGGCATTCAATTATTAAACTTTTTTGCAAGTTTTATTTGTGCACCTCTTTTGCATAGCTAATGTTTCTGTATATCAGAATTCCCAAAGCCTTATTTATTTCTCCCTACATAATACATCAACAACAAAATCCTTTATCTGTAAGCTCTCTGCTTACACAACTTTTTAATTTGCCAAAAATCTCTTTAGGCTTTTCTTATCTTACATTTTCTTCATTGATCTTGTTAGTTCCTGAAAACTTAAATTATAGGAGTTTCTTACATTTTCTAGTCTTATTTTTTAAATTTATATACTTATTTTAATTGAAAAATCAGATTTACAGAGAGGAGAAACAGAAAGACCTTCCATCTGCTGGTTTACTCCCCAAGTGGAAACAACAGTTGTAGCTGAGTATATTCAAGTTAAGATCCATGAGATTCTTCTAGGTCTCCCACTTGCGTTCAGGGTCCCATCCTCTCCTGCTTTCCCAGGCCACAACCAGGGAGCTGGATGGGAAGTGGAGCAGCAGGAACACAAACCCACATGGATGTTGGCATTGGCAGGTGGAGGATTAGCCATTTGAGCCACTGCATCAGCCCCATTCTGATATTTTATATAAAAGAAAAATTATGGAATGGGAGCCACTAAGGGGGCCAACATAGTGGCACAGCAGGTTGAGCAACTGCTTAAGATGCTGGCATTCCATGTCAAAGCACCTCTATTTTAAGCTGTAGAAGAATCATGCTTATAATTTGGATTTGTTTCTATATGTCAACAAAACATAGTGGGGTTAAGCATTTGGCCTAGCAGTTAAAACACTGCTTGGAACACTACAATCTTGTATGGCAGTCCCTGGAGTCTAGTTCCTGCTAATGTGCTTCTTGGGATAGGCAGTAATTGCTTAAGGAGTTGAATTATGTTACTTATGTAGGGACACCTAGCTTGAGTTCCTCATTCCTGGATTTGACTTGACCCTGTTTCAGCAATTGGCAGCATCTGGGAATTGAACTAGCAGATGGGAGTTCTCTCTCTGTTTTCTGTCTTTCTGTATCTCTCTGCCTCTTACATATATAACATGAATAATTAATTAAGAATACATTTTATTTAATACTTATTTAGTAACTTAAGGCTTTGGCAAGGTAGATTTTAATATAAAGGCAGGAAATATTACTAATTTTTTATACAGTTAGCCAAATAAATATGCTCAACTAATAGATTTATCACAGGTCAAACTTGAATGATTAATTTAGGCTTTAAAAATCATACATTTAAATAAATATGACAATAATATAGATTATCATTATATAGCATAGAGTATGTAGCCATAGGGGCTGGTGCTATGGTATAGCAGGTAAAGTACTTCTTGTAATACCAATATCCCTTATGGGGTGTCCTGGCTGCTCCACTTCTGATTCAGCTTCCTGCTGGTGGTCTAGAAAAAGCAGCAGAAGATGGCCCAAGTGTTTGGGCCCTGCTACCCATATGGGATACCTAGATGAAGTTCCTGGATCCTTCATCCTGGCTCAACTCTGACTGTTGTGGCTATCTTAGGAGTGAGCCAGTGGATGGAAGCTCTTTCTCTGTCTCACTTTCTCTCTAACTATGACTTTTAAACAAGTAAGTCTTAATAAATTAAATAGCTGCCAAACACTGTTAATGATGTTTAAGGGACCTATTGCATGATCCTTCTGTTTTTCTCAGCTAAAAACAGTCTACAACTAAAAGTCTCCTAAAACCTGGAGGAGCTTTTCTCCAATTTCATCTGAAATTATATAGTGATTCTTAGCTGAATGTGGTTTTTGGCTGTCATTATATATTTAAAATGCATTCAGATCGGAAGCTCTGATTGCAGATTGTTGTGTTCACTGTTTTCTAGACGAGCACTGTGAGGGTCGCTGTAACTCCCAGAGCTGCATCTTGGCCCAGGAGGAGGAGCAGTACCTGCAGAGCACCGACCAGCAACTGACTCGACATGTGCTGCTGTGTTTACTCCTCATCATCGGCCTGTTTGCTGTAATGGTTTCTTCTGGGTTGTTTGGGGGCTGGGGTAAATGTTTTATCTGGGCATCTGGGAGAAGCTCAGTTGCTGATTTCTAGGAGCTTGGCAGAAAGGCCGTCTGAATCCTAATCTTTTGCTAAAAGTTTTGGGAGGGAAGAGAATACTCATTCACATTGCTCAACTGCCTACCTGTTCTAGTAGCTCTTCCTGCTTAGCACCAGTTTTTCATTCTGTGTTGTGAACCCAGAATTTAGTGAAACCAGTTAACTCCATGCTGTGTATAGGGCTGCCTAATACTAACATTCTTCATAGAAGTGCATTATTCCTCTAACATGTTCATCAGATAAACTTTTAAAAAGTAATTTGAACTTGGGACTAGCATTATGGCACCATGGATTAAGCTGCTGCTTGCAGTGCTGGCATTTCACATTGGAGCACTTATTTCAGACCTGGATGACGTTTCTGGTTTCTGGCTTCTGCCTTGCCTGGCTCCAAGCTGCTGTAATTAGAAGAGATATATTGTAATTGTACTTACTCACTTCCTTACGAATTGTTCATGGCTTTCAAAATGCTCTAATCATATTCACACATTGTTTCTTTAAGATGAATTCGCAAAGTTGAGAACCTTGAATTAAAGAATACAGATCTTTCTGTGACTTTGAATATATTCTATCAAATTGTTTTCTGGGGGAGAGGAGTTAGTAAAAATACATAAAGTGCTCTCACTAGGATTAGATATTGCATTTTAAAGATTTATTTGTTTATTTTGTAGCGCAGAAATATAGAGAAGAAAAAGCAGAAGTACAGGGAAAGAGAGCTTTCCTCCATTGAGTCACTCCCTGAATGACTGCCACAGCCAGGGCAGGGCCAGGTAGAAGCCAGGATGCAAGCCTCATCTGGGTCTCCCACCAGTGTGCAGGGCCCAAACACATGGGCCGTCTGCTGCTGCCTCCCAGGTGCATTAGCAGAGAGCTGGGTTGGAAGTAGAGCAGGTAGGAGTCAAATAGGCATCCACAGGGGCTACCAGCGCTAGGTGGCAGCTTTACCTGCTATACCACATACTGGTCCTGGATATTGAAAAAAAAAAACGTTTTTAATTTGATGATTTTGAAAGCAAAATATAGCACATTTTAAATGCATACATTTACTGCACTACCAGAATTATGGGGATAGAATTGTAGCATAGTGTGTTAAGCTGCCTTCTGGAATGATCAAATCCCATATTGGATTGCTGGTCCAAGTCCCAGCTACTCTGCTTTGATCCAGCTTCCATGCTGGGAAGCAGCAGCAGGTTAATCACATCTCTGCTGCCTGGGTTATCCGGATGGAATTCCTTGCTCCTGGCTTCAGTCTGACCTAGTCCTGGCTGCTACAGCCATGTGGGGAGTGAACCTGCAAACAGGAAGACCTTTGTCTCTGCCACTCTCTGCTTTTCAAGTAGATGAAAATAAACATATTTTTTAAAGTTCTCAGCTGTGAAGCACTAGTTATTACATAATTCTGTAAGATGATTCGAGGGTCACTTGCTTAGGAATAGGAGCTAGATCTGTCAGCCTATGAAGGAAATATTCTCACCCTGGGGTGCTCGTTACATGTGTGAAAGCAGCTAGCACCACTGTAACTGCCGTTTAAGAATAAAATTCAAAAATAAGAACCGCTGCCAAGAATTGCTGCTTCGTGGTGTAATTGTTTTCATTGTGCAGAACTAATTTTAAAATCAGTCCTGTCTCGGGCTAGTCGGCAGGGCTGATACATTATGTAAGCTTCTGTATTATGGCTCATGTCGTCTTGCTTCAAATCAGATCAGAATAGATGCTGTTTGAATGACATCTGTCAGCAGGAGAGGTTGAAACCTCTTGTTTGAGAGACAAAGCCTCTATATTCACTCAGTGTTTTTCCCTCTCGTCTTTTCTCCCCTAATAATTAAGAAGAGAAGTTATTATACTGTGCTCTGGAGAGAAATGATTATGCTGCTCCATATCAAAGTGCTCTTTTTTCTTGCAGAATCTTTCCAGTTGTCTATGGTGGCTATTCAACCAAGAGCCTGGAAGACTGTATGTTGAGTTACAGTTTTTCTGCGCTGTGTTTAACTTTGGCCAGGTACTTACTCTGAGAACTTTGAGGGGTTTTTGTTTGCTTGGATAGGCTCGCAGGGTGGGGGTGGGGTGCGGGTGGGGTTATTTTCTTTTAACTCACAACGGGTTCATTTGTTTGCCAGCTGCTGGTGTACATGACAGCTGACAGCTGCTGCCTGCTTCCTAGAAGAGATGAAGTATTATATTGGTTAAAGTCATCAGAATGTACACTGAGTGCTCTAACCAGAAATACCAGAGCTATTTGCTTTGATTTTGAGATGAGGAATAATTTAACCAAGAATAATATTCCTAAGTTCTTTTTAGACTTTGTTGTGATCTTAATAACTCAGTTTGAGAAAATAATTTACCTTCCCTCAGCCTTTAACTTAGCTATTTAAATAGATGATTATCATTTAATTTCTTTTTTTTATGTCTCTTGGACAACAGGTCCTTATAAAGAAAAAAAATCACATAGTGTAAAAATTTCAGCCAGCCATAGTTACCATTCTAAGTGAGCCCATTGTATGTCAAACACATTATGTTCATTATCATTTAAATATCACAGCAATACCCGCAGAGTCAATATTATTATCCTCAGTTTAAAAACTAGGACACTATGAAAAAGTGTTTGACCTGGCAGTTAAGATGCTTCTTGGGAAGTCTGCATCCATATCCAAGCATCTGGGTCAGGTCCCACCTCCTCTTCTGATTCCACTTTCCTATTAACATGCACCCTATGGGGCAGCATTTGATGGCGCAAGTACCTGGGTCCCTGCCATCCATAGGGTAGATCCATATTGATTTGCTGGCACTTGACTTCAGCCTGGTCCAGCCCCAGCTGTTATGGGTATTTGGGCAGTGACACAGGAGATGGGCGATATCTTTCTCTCCCTCTCCATCTTCTACTCCTCTCTCCCCCATCTGCCTTTAATATATAAATAAATAATTAACCAACTAACTAAGTAAAAAGCATTGGATACTAAAATTCCATGAAATAAATACAATAGGTGCTATTGTCTATATTTATCTCACTATTAAAATGGATGCTTAAGGAAAATGACATTTTACACATGGAAAATACTTTTCATAGGCAAACTTAAAAATCTGATTTCATTAACCCCTTAGTTGTTTTTTTTTAAAAGATTGATTTATATTTATTGAAAAGGAGGATCCAAAAAAAGAGAGAAAGATGTTCCATCTTCTTGGTCACTCCCCAAATGGCCACAACGGCTGGAACTGAGCTGATCTGAAGCCAGGAGCTTCTTCCAGGTTTCCCACACTGTTCAAGGTCCTAATGCATAGGGCCGTCCTCCACGGCTTTCACAGGACACAAGCAGGGAGCTGGAGGGGAAGTGAAGCAACCAGGACACGAACTGGTGCCCATATGAGATGCCACGCTTGGAAGTAAAGATTAGCCAGTTTAGCCAATGCTCTGGCTTTTAACTCCTTAATTTATTTTTTGTTCTTTTTGTTTTGTTTTGAAGATTTATTTACTTTTATTGGAAAGGCAGATTTACAGAGAAAAAAGGAAAGACAGAGAGAAAGATCTTTATTGAAAAGGCAGAGCCACAAGAAGAAAGATGTTCCATCTTCTGCTTCACTCCCCAAAATGCCAGAATAGCTGGAGCTGAGCCAATCCAAAGTCAGGAGCCAGGAGCTTCTTCCAGGTCTCCAATGGAGATACAGGGTCCCATGGCTTTGTGTCATCCTTGACTGCTTTCTCAGGCCACAAGGAGGGAGCTGTATGGGAGGTGAAGTAGCTGGGACACAAAACGGTGCTCATATGTGATCCTGGTGTACGCTAGGCAAGGATTTAGCCACTGAGCCATACAGCCAGGCCAAGCCCCTTAGTTTGTTTTGTTTGTTTGGTTGGTTGGTTGGTTGGTTGGTTTTTCTTTTTTTTTTTTTTTTTCAGCCAGAGAAGCTTATTTGCAGAGGGATCAGCTGAGAAGGGAAGGAAGAAAGGGGAAAGTACTGCTGGAGAGAAAGCCAGGAGGTGGGGTACCTCTCGAAAGAGTAGGGAGAGAGACACCCCAAGCTCCTTAGTTTTTAAAACAGAGAATATTGGTACACAGATTCAATATTAGGTTGAAAAAAAATACTATTTAAAATCAGGGTTGTTGCCTTTTAAATCTGAAGTAATTCTCATTAGATATACGTATAACTTTTTTCCTACCATTAGTATATTGAAATACCTCCAATTTTTTTTTGTTCATCAGTGTGCTGGCATAATAAAAAAATTGTTGTTCAGACACAGGTGACCACTATTATAGCATGAGCATCCCAAGGATTACTTCATACCCATCTTATCTTAAAATTTGATTTTGTGTTCAAAGTACTAAATGGAAAACTTGTACTCTTAACATTTTACACTCCTGGGGCCCGGCGTGGTGGCGCAGTGGTTAAGGTCCTCGCCTTACATGCCCCTGGATCCCATATGGGTGCCGGTTCTATCCCGGCAGCCCCTCTTCCCTTCCAGCTCCCTGCCTGTGGCCCAGGAAAGCAGTCGAGGATGGCCCAAAGCTTTGGGACCCTGCACCCGCATGGGAGACCCAGAAGAGGCTCCTGGCTTCGGATCGGCATAGTATCGGCTGTTGCGCTCACTTGGGGAGTGAATCATCGGATGGAAGATCTTCCTCTCTGTCACTCCTCTCTGTATATCCACCTTTCCAATTAAAAAAAATAATAATAAAAATAAATCTTTAAAAAAAAATTTTACACTCCTGGTAGAGCTAACCCAGGGTCAGAAATAATAAAGCTGCATTAAATAAAGGTCATAAGTGCCTGGAATATTAAATTTAAAATGCTGGTGGGGTGGTGCCTACAGCACCAGCATCTCATAGGGGCACCAGTTCATTTCTTGGCTGCTCCTCTTCTGATCCTGGCCCTTGCTTATGGGCTGGGGAAGCAGTCAAGGATTGTGCAAGTCCTTGGGCCCCTGCACTCATGTAGGGGACCCAGAGGAGGCTCCTGGCTCTGGCTTTGGATTGGCTCAGCTCCAGCTATTGTGGCCATTTGGGGAGTGAACCAGCAGATAGAAGACTATTCTGTTTTTCTTTCTTTCTGTAATTCTGCCTTTCAAAATAAAAATAAGTAAAAATTTTGTAAAAATGCTGTCCACACAGCATATAGCCTAAGTGATTCAAAGGAGAAGAGGTGAACAAACCCCACTTCTCATTTTCTTCTTGGGGAGAAACAGTAAGATTTCCTTGCCTCTTTTTGTTTGGGGTGGAAATGGTAGGACCTTTGTATAATATTACATTGTGTTCTCCATCTCACCTCCCACCAGTCTGCATGCAGATCCTTCTCCTAGTATATCCCACAAGGAACAGCTTCAAGTTCTACAAGTGACTGATAGCTGGTGCCTTTTGCCTCATCATCCCTAAAGCCTTCAAGCCCTAGCCAGCTTCACTTCACATGAACTCTGTTCATTTACTGGATTATAGTGAGCCATTTCAGCACTTGTTAATTATATAATTCATGAAGGCTTAACAGAAAAACAAAACACAGAAATATATAAACACAGTTGGGGCATTTTCAGAAAGAAGAAAACAAAGACATATAGCCCTGACATGCTCTCTCCTTTTTCTCCAGTAAGCTGTCATGTAAATATGGTTACTCAGCACTGGTTTGTATCATTCATCATAATCGGTAGGAAAGCAGGATTGGGAAAAGGCAGTTAGTATGCCATATGCCTCTAGGCACTGAATTCGAGAGCCCTTGCTTGTGTGTTCTGTTTAAATTATTGCTCTGATCACTGTATGATGGCTTTCTCAAGCACTGAATGTAGGGCTTCCTTCATCACTCTCTCTTAAAATTTTATTGTTGAATTCAGAAAAAAAATTACTTTGTTTTTTTTCCCCTAGGGATTTATTTCCTTTGGAATCTTTGGATTAGATAAACATTTAATCATCCTGCCATTTAAAAGAAGGTAAATTTCATTTGGAGGTAAATCTTTATGCAAAAAGGTGATGACAAAGCCATTCTATTAAGATACTGATATTTTTAAACTTTTAGTAACTGCTAGGAGACTACAAAATACCACATACACATAAAGGTTACCTGTTGATTCACATATTTGTTTTAAATAATTGCAGGGAAAAGATGGGAAGAATTGTTATAACTCCAGCACTGTAATTTGCATTCTAACAAGAACTGACTTCTATCTATGCCATTAACTACGTAAAGTTAAATGAAACTTAGAAATCTCTTTAGAAATAGAAGTAGTGAGTAGTGTGCCCCAAAAAGTCTATACTGTATTTTGATAGGATTCTTCTACCAAAAGGACAACATGAAAAAACTTGTTTTCTTCTTGAATTTTGCTAGTGATCTGTACATTAAGATTGAAGATTTGTTTATGAAAAAAATGACAAATGGAAATTCTCCAGCTTGGGGATAAGAGGAAAGAATGGGGTTGGAGGGAGCAGATCTTTGTACTTCCTTGTTTATTTCCAAGTCAGAAATTAGTAAAATTTCTCATTGCTAATGGAGTTTATCCCACTAGCTTTATGAAAAATATTAAAAAATTATAACTACTCTTTCTTCTTCAACATCCTCAGCAGGATGTAGTTGCTGATCATTTCATGAAGGAGGAAAAGCATCCTAGGCAAGTCAGTGAAATCAGTTATCAGATGAATAATGTTGATCAGGTAGAACAGTCAACAGTTTTTATTGTCTGAGCTGCAGAAACAGAATTGCTGTGGGCTCCAGAGCCCAGCATTTGTCCCTATGGTATGGAAATTGAAAAAGAATTAAGCAAAATGCTTGGTCTTGGAGTTATCATTGCATTTCATAATAGTAGAATGAAGAATAAGCAACATTTATTGGTAGAAGCTAATGTGGCTCAAACATATCTAGAGGATTTATGAGATGATTAGGTTCCCTGCCCTGGCTCGTGAGTGAGAAAGTGCGTACAGAGGAAGGGTGTTTCTGCCTCACAGAGTAATCCTGTCTGGGCGTTAGGGATGACAGCTTTGCTGCATGACAGTTTTCTGATGGAGTGATTAGGGAGTGCTTTTCTTTCCTTAAAAATAGTCTCCTTAAATTTTGATTTTCAGACTTGAATTCCTATGGAACAATAAAGAAACAGCAGAAAACAGGGATCCTCCTGTATCTGAGGAAATAAAAATGACCTGTCAACAGTTTATGCATTATCACCGTGACCTATGTATCCGAAACATTGTCAAGGAAAGAAGGTAAGCCAGTGCAGTTTCCAGAGAATTATATTTGAGAGGATTAATTTTCTGATTTGACAGGCCAACTAATAAGTCATAACTGACTATATACATGGCTGTTTCTTTCATTAACACATATGCGAAGGTATTTAAAAAGTTAATGTAAAATGTGTATTATGGGGGAAAAAACTGTGCATGGATTTAAAAGAAAATTACTTTGGAATACCAAATTAAACTTATCTTTTAATTCTAATTTACATCTTAAAGTTCCCTTGTGTGTGTAAAAGGTAAAACAATTGTGGGTCAGTTTGTTATTTTAAAAATTACATGTAAAAAAAATTACATGTATTTTTGATTTTAGGTTTTAAAAACATCATAACTTCTGATTTCCATAAAAATGAAAACTTTAGAATGAACCAAGGTGTAGTAGAATATTAACATTCATTGCATGTTGTCAATTAGTGTCTCTCACAAAGGTTTGAAGATTTATAAGTAATTTTGTAAACCCATCTCCTAGTGATATTTCATATTACTAATGCTGTTGTCAAAAAAATGAAAGAAAATTTATGCCTCAATTAATTTTGCTATTTGTATTTCATCTCAAGTCCAACTCTTTAATCTGTGATATATCCATTCTTCTAACACATGAAGTATGGCCTCTGCTTGTAGCAGGAAATGATGAACTTGAAGTAAGCAAACATTATACTACCATGAGTACTGGTTGTCACAGAGAAAGAAAAAAAAAACCCATAAAGAACCTAATATATTTATGTGCATAAATGAAAGCATGAAAATTATTGTTCTGAATAATTCATTTATATACATTATGCAACTATTTAACATACATAAAAATATAATCAAAGGTAGCCTGGTATAGACAATGAGAGGAGACTACAGGTATGGATTAAAACTTGAATTCAGCTCTCCTGAACTGTCACTTATTAGCTGGAAATGTTCAATTTTCTAAATTGCAGTTTTTTCCTTACTTTAAAATATCTGACTCTTGGGGTTTGAATTCAGTGACAAAAATGTCGGTGTGGACCTGGCCCACTCTCTGACAATCATAAATTATGAAAAAAATGTTAGCTTCCTTCCCACAAAAGCACAATTATTTCAACCTATGGATAGTTTTAACAATTTTATCTTAGTTATTTTGACAGACAGCAAGAGCAAGTTAGCTATCCTCTGCTGGTTTACTTTGACAGATGCCTGAAATGGCCAGCACTGACCTGAGCCAAAGCAAGGAGCCAGGAACTCATCTAGGTCTCCCATATAGGTGACGGGAAGCCATCACCCCTGCCTCTAAAAGCCCACAACAGCAGGGAATGCGTGCTGGGACTTGGAGCTGAATAGCAATCCCAGCAGCTCCAGTGTGGCACATGGATATGATAACCCACATTTTAGCCATTAGGCCAAATATCTGGACATTTCAACTCTTTAAAACTGCTGCTTAATGTATATTATATATATATGTATATATATATATATATATATATATATATATATATATATATATATATATATATTTTTTTTTTTTTTTTTAAGGAAAACTCCATGTTAGCTCTATCAGGCCCATTTTCCTTACCAACTACTGTCAGGAAATGCAGCAGAGCTGCCTCCATCCCAGATGGCTGAATGGGCAACAGCTGGTCTGTTCCCTGCCCTTTTCCAGGCCCCGCGGTCTGCAGAGCATCACATCCTGATTCTCTGCACAGCTCCATAAGCTGTCCTTCTCATCCCAGTCGTCAGGAAGCAAGTAGTACTCAGCTGGTATCTTAGAAAGTGTTAGTATATAAATTAGAGCGCAACAAGCATGAAGAAGATTCAGAGACAAGTTGTAATATGAGTATTCAAGCATCTGTTGAAAGTGAATTTGTAGTTATGAAACGTAAATTATCACTAAGTGAAATAATTATGTTCATATATTATGAATTTATGAAAATTTTTATGTGCATTAACCTCTTATCTAATTCATACATGAAACTAATATATATTCACTTATGGTTAAATGTTTTAAAATGTCAGTACCATTTCTCATTTCCTCTTAGCTTTCATGCACTGTCTCCTGTTGTCAAGTGCTTCTGTTTCATAACTTGACTGATGCTTGGGGACAAATCTGTGTTGTCTATTTCATATTCATGTAAAAATGCACAAAATTCATGTAATCGAGTGTATTTTTGCATTTCTCTTTCCTTCTTTATTTGCTCATACTTAAGACACTCCACATTTGCATTAGAAAGACACATTTTAAATAATTACGAAGTAAATTCATGATTATGTTTTTTAAAATCTTATATTTGTAGCAAGACAGATCTTTGATTTTTTTGCTTCCTAATGAATCAAATTCCTGACAAACACATCAGTATGATTTTCTTTGCTACTGAAGCAAAAAGAAAGGCCACTTGTGGGCACAACAAGCTGAAAATGACTACAGCAAATAGACTAGTAAAAACAGTCACCAAAGACCCCATGGGAAAAAAAAAATTATGTTCTAAGACAATTTAATTACTTAGTACAACTGCGACATAGTAAGTTGTAAGATATATATTTATTACCTGTCAACAAAACAGATTTGATTATAAAAGATCATGTTACTATAAGAAATTCCCTTAAAGATATATTTGTATTATCTATGTCATTTTTGTTGCTGCTTAATAATTTGTTTTCACAAGCATTACTAGCATCTTTTATTTGCCTCTGGGGTCTCTATAGGATCAGGAGAGCTAACCCTTTATACTCACAACAGTTTCATTCCTGCCATGCTTTTAACTATCACTGCTGTCTTTCCTTGTTTCTCTTTATTTTCCCTCATTGTCCTCTATCATGCAGTGCTGATACCAGATTTACAGAACATAGGGGTGAATCATTCCTTTGACATACAGGTGTGGTACAAAGACTTCTGCTGGGACCTTCTGTGGCTGTGACCTGGTGAACTGGCTAATTGAAGTTGGCCTTGCCTCCGACCGTGGTGAAGCTGTGATATATGGAGACAGACTGGTGCAAGGGGGAGTCATCCAACATATTACAAATGATTATGAATTTCGGGATGAGTACTTGTTTTATAGATTTCTTCAAAAGAGTCCTGAGCGGAGTCCTCCTGTTATCAATGCAAACCCCGTATATCAGGAAAGATATAAAGAAATTGAGCATTCATCCCCTTCCTCACCTTCCCCCAACACCTAAATTGTGAAGGAGAGACTCCCACATGGAATCCTAGTCTAGCCCCTAATCTGTTACTTTGCACTGTGTGACTATGGGCAAGTGACAAACAGAGCTTCAGAGCTTCAGCTGCCTCTTTGGGAAAGTTTGACAACTTTTTTGGTTGTTGTTCTCATTTCATGCTAACATTCTGTTTTTTATGTGTATGTAAAACTCATAGGAAACTGACTTGGAAAAAAGAAAAACAAATCAAAATTTAAAAGTTCTGATATAATAATTACCATAATACTAGTATGTCAACATTTAAAAATCATTGTCTTCTGCAAATGTTTACTGCAATTTCAAAATCAGTATCAGATTCACTAGCTGTTTCTTTAAGTTGCCATGTATATTGTTAGCAGGAAATGAACCTTAAATGATGAAAACTTCGCATTTACTTATAGCACTTCCCCAAAAAAGAATTTTAATAAGAAGGTCTTCCTATTTTTATTTTTTCCATTTTCTTGATGATGATGACTCATTTACAATCTGGAACACTGATTTTAAGGTTCAACTTTTCCTTGCTTCTCTATCCAAAGTGCTAACCTGTGAACCTAGGAAGGAAATAAGAACTTCTTTATGTTAGGTCCACGGTCCTTCAGAAATATCATTTGATATTTTGTTTTGTACAATTGATTATTGGAGCATATTCATTTAACTACTATTGACAAAATCATTGCTGTGATGTTATTGTTTCTGGTATTCTCACAAAGTATCAGTGCAGGAGGATAACCTCTATCGTTTATGGTTAAAAAAACACAGTTCAAGCTAAGATTTAAGAAGTTAGCATCCTACTGTTACTTTTAGAATTTATTCTTTTTTAAGCATCCATGAATTACTGGATGCCCTGTGTCTTAGCCCATTCAGGCTGCTCTATCGGGACACTATGAATTAGCTTGTTTCTCAGAGTTCTGGAGACGGACATTCCAGAAGTCACCAGCAGACACAGTGTGTGATGAGGGCTTACGTGCTAGTCCACAGACCATGCTGCTTGCTCTGTCTTCATGTAGGAGAAAGGAAGAACTCAGCTTCCTTGAAGACCACTAATCCCACTAATGAAGGCTCTGTCCTTATGACCTGACTGACTCCCAAAAGCCCTTACTCATGCCAGCACATTGGGATTAGATTTCAACAAATGCATTTTAGGGGGACACAAACATTCAGACCAGAGCACCTTCAGCTGAGCTTTATGTTAATTAAAAAGAGATCAATTCACATGAGCATTGACCACATATTAATTATTAGGTGTCAGTGCTGATCTAACTTATTTAAGACACAATTTTAAATATTTATTTAATTATCTCTTATTTTTAGTGTCTCATATATAAAAGCCATTTAGAAAATTGATAGGGTTAGTGCCACTGCCCTTTTATTCCAACAAGTATATAATTTTTAAAGAAACCTGCATGGAAAGCTGTGTGTGTAGTAATTATGCTTCCATATACTACTAAACTGCATCAACTTTCTAATTAGGGAATGAGGATATTTTCAAATTGAATTGCCTTGCTACTAAACTTTAAAAAATGATTATGACCACATTGCAACTCTGAATGTTCAGGGTAAGTGTAAAGCCTCACTGGTGCCCAAGAGACATACAGTTACAGTAACAGAAATACTCACATGCATGCAGGCAACTCAGGTTCCAGCGGGGAATGTGTGAACAAGTCATACCACATATATTCTGTTATTTGTAGGAATGGCATCTGAAATAAATATTTTTCCATGGGAGACACTAAAAAAAAACGTTGGATCAGAATGATCTGCAGTTTCAGATAATATAGGCTTTTAAGAGATGTTTTTTAGAATTAAGGACATGCTAATTTTATTACGTGAAATTATTTGTAACTGTTACTTTATCACTGACAAAGCAAGTTTCTCAATAAAATGTCTATTTTAATTTGCATTGCTGGCATCTTTTCTTGGAGTGATCTGAATAATGCAGAAACTCTCACAGAGATCTTTAGGTTCTCAATGCTTTCTTAAAAGGGTTCCTTAGAGTGTTCTATTCTTCATGCCCCTATGGGTTCTTTGTACAGGACCTTGCCCAATTAGGCATTCAGTTAACATTTTTTATGAATGAATCAATATGGTGTTAGATTCCTTTTCATACATTTCATAATTTCAAATATGCAGTGTCATAGCTGGGAAAATGAATCTGCTACAATTTTGATTAAAACTACCCTTTTTATACTAATCTTCAGCATAGTCAATTGTTTCCTTAACTTTCAATGAATAATTCCATGCCTAGCTTACACTTTTAATATTTGTAGAATAAGATAAAGTATACCTACCATTTTAAGAATGATTAATGATCAGCAAACTTCAAAAGCAAGAAAAATGTGACATGATTATTTTACTGGTTTTCCATGCAGCAGAATGCAGCTTTTCGTTTTCGCCCCTTCATCTATCATGTAAATGTTAAACTGCATTAGACCACTAGGCATATGGAGTCATATGACGGATGGTTGGAAAAACAGTCCAGGATCATAAAGGCTATTGTTCTTTAAGGAAGAATAGGGTTATAAATTTCTGCAATTACTATGATTAAAAGCCTGATAAAACTGATCAAAAAGCAATACCATTTATTCAGTAGATCTGTTTTTGACAATTTTTACATGAAGGAACTTCCCAAGAGTCTAAGCTTTATAATTACTTCCAGAGCATAATTTTTGGTTGAATATAAACATATATTTTAAATATATATATATTAACAAATAAACACTTCAACCAAAGATTTTTTAAAAACTAGCCTTATCTAAAATACTAAACTGACTAGATTATTCCCTTGGTTTAAGTGATGGTAAAAAACACCTCAGTTTTTACCCTCCATAAAAAGCTTAGTTTGAGCTCCTCTACTGTTACTCTTAATGCACAGATGAAACTTAGGAAAACTTAAAATTTTCTAAAACGCACAAAGGCATTAATTACTCATACTAGTACCTATTATCCAAATATCACATTTGATTTAAAGAGTAAAAGTCTTGCAACTTCTTTTATAAAATTAATTCAAATCATTATAATAATCCTTTAATTGGGAAGTTCTTATTCTCATTTTTAATATGGAAAGAGGTAGCAAGCTGGCTTGAGACTCATAAAAGGCTACCAAGTCATATGGATTGTCCAGGCAATTTTCTCAACTTTAAATCTGAACTGTCAGAGAAAAGGCCTGTGGCGATTCTTGATATCAGTACTTGAATGCTCATTTAACAGATACATATTCAACATCTACCATATGCCAGACATGCTATTGAACACTGGGCACACAATGGTGAAAACAAATATGATCCCTACCCTCATAGAACTACTTTGAATAGTAGATGTCAAAAATATAATTGACATGTTATAGGCTCACATGTGGCTCCAAGAGCATGCATGAGGGATCTGATCTTGTGGTATGGGGAAGAAATTCTCTAAGGAAATCATGTCTTGGCAAGACTATGAAAGATGAAAAGAACTTACTTACATAAAGACGAGCACGTGGAACAAGCAGAGTATATCCTTGAAAAAGGAACTCTGGGCATTGGAGGACTTGAAAGACTAGCGTAGTTAAAGCTTAAAAAACAATGGTGAGGGTTTGGCCTTGTGGCACAGCAGTCAAGCTGCCTTCTGTGACACTGAGCATCTTGTATAGGCATTGGTTTAAGTTCTGGCTGCTCCACTCTGACCCAGCTCTTTCAAATGTACTTGAGAAAATAGCAGAAGATGGCCCAACTGCTTGGGCCTCTGCCAGCTCATGGAAGCCCCAAAAGGAGTTCCAGGCTCCCGGCTTTGTTTTGGCTCTGCCCTGGCTGTTATAGCCATTTGAGGAGTGAAACAGTAGATGGAATATTCTCTCCCTCTCTCTTTTTCTCTAACTCGGTCTCTCAAATAAATTTATCTTCAAAGGGGAAAATGGCGTAATATATGAGATAATAGACAGGGCAGATCAGCAGGATCTTCTTGGCCTTTGTTAGGGATTGTCCTTCAGCGCTAAGGACAATAAATCTCCAAAAGAGTTTTAGACTTAACAGTAAGAAAATGAACAATCTGATTTTAAAAATGGACAAAGGTCTGAATAGACAATTCACCAAAAAGGATGTACAGATGGCAATTAAACATATGGAAAGTTGCCCAACTTGTTATACCATCAGGGGATTGCATATTAAGCAAGAAGATACAACTGCATATCTGTAACAATGGCCAAAATACCAAACACTGACAACAAGAACTGCTAGAGTATAGAAAAACAGTAATTCTCATTCACTGCTGATGGGAATGTAAAATGGTGGCCATTCTGGAAGACAGTTTAGCAGTTTCTTACACAACATACTTTTATTATAATATCCAATAATTGCATTCCTAGTTGCTTATCCAAAATGAGCTGAAAATATATGCCCACATGCATTCTAAAAAATTAATTCATTTAGGGGCCCAGCATTGTGATATAGTGGGTACAGCTACCACCTGCAATGCCAGCATCCCATATGGGCAGCAGTTTCTGTTCTAGCTATTACATGTCCAATCCAGGCCCCTCCCACTCCTTTGGAAGACCCAGATGAAGCTCCTAACTCCTGGCTTCAGCCTGACACAGCACTGGTCACTGTGGCCATCTCAGGAGAGAATCAGTGGATGAAGGCTCTGTCTCATCCCCTCCCATCTCTGACTTTCAAAATAAATTTATTTTTTAGAAATTAATTAATTGAAAGGCAGAATGATAACAGAGAGCTACCTTCCATCCCCTAGTTCATTCCCGAAATGCTGACAATATCTGGGGCTAGGGTGGCTCAAAGCCAAGAGCCAAGAACTCCATCTGGATCTTCCACAGGGTGACAGGAATCCTAGGTGTTTTAGCAGTAAGCTATTTCAGAAGCAGGGAAGTCAGGACTGCATCCCAGGCACACTCAGAAAATGCAGACATCCAAGGCAGCTTGACTAACTGTATAGTAAGTTTATTCATAATTGTCAAAACTTGGAAGCAAGCAAAATGCTCTTGAAAAGTGGAAAGTACAAAAATGGGATAACATTTAACACTAGCAAGAAATAACTGAATTTACCCAATACTATGTCAATTAATTCCATAATGTTGTATATTGATACTGAGGCCTTGTTGGGGCTTTTAACTGACCGGATCTTTACTCTGTTAGACCTATCTTCAGACCATAGAAGGTCTCCCCAAGAGGCCACTGAACTTATCTGGACAATAAGACGCTGAACTTTATGCTAGGCATGTGTTTGCAAGCAATGAATCTCAACTGAACTTGAACTATGGTTATGCAACAAGGTGGAGGAATCCACCATGGGGGGAGGGGTATGGGAGGGGTGGGGGGAATCCCCAGCGCCTATAAAACTGTACTACATAATACAATGTAAGCAACAATAATAATAAAAAAAAAAGAAATAACTGAAACACAGAGGAAATTTAAATCTTACTACTAAATTTCAAAAGGCAGTTTGAAAAAGCTACACACATCATGATTCCTATCACATAGAATTATGGAAAAGGCACAACTGTGGAGAGAATAACAAGATCAATTCAAAATCAGTAACAAGATCAGCAGAGATGAGAGGCTGGCCAAAATAGGAAAACATAGAGGATGTTTTAGGTCATGCAGTGCTCTGCAGGATAACAGTATATACTTGTCAGAATGCATTGCCAAAACTCAAAATGTACATCAAGAGCAGCCTCAAGGCCTTGTGCCATGACTCAGTGATTGGAATCCTCACCTTGCATGCTTTAGGATACTAACTGGGCACTGGTTTGTGTCCTGACTGCTACACTACCCATCCAGCTCCCTGCTTGTGGCCTGGGAAAGCAGCCAAGAACAGCCCAAATCCTTGGCAACCTGTACCTGCTTGGGAGACCCGGAAGAAGCTCATGGCTTTGGATCAGCCCATCTCTGGATACTGTGGCCACTTAGGGAGTGAACCAGTGGATGGAAGATCTTTCTCTTTGTCCTTCTCTCCATAAATCTGATCTGCCTTTCCAATAAAGGAAAAAAAAGCAGCCTCCTCTACTGTAAACCAGGGACTTTGGGTGATAATGACATGTCGACATGTCAGTGTGGGTCTCTCAGTTAACAAACTTGCTAGCATGTGGACAGTGCAGGAAGTTGTGAAGGTATGGGATGGAGTTTATGGGAACTCTTCACTTTCGGAAGCCAGGAGCCAGGAGCCTCTTCTGGGTGTCTCATGTAGGTGCAGGGTCCCAAGGCTTTGAGTCATCCTCAACTCCTTTCCCAGGCCTCAAAGCAGGGAGCTGGATGGGTAGCGGGGCTGCCAAGATTAGAACTGGTGCCCATATGGGATCCTGTCGTGTCCAAGGAGAGGAATTTAGCCACTAAGCCACCATGTCAGGCCCCTAAAAAACACCTTCAAAAATCTTAGAGGGGGTTAGCATCACACTTATTTTTTTTTAAATGTATATATTTATTTTCATTGGAAAGTCAGACTTACAGAAAGATCTTTATCTGCTGTTTCACTCTCCAAATGGCCAGAGCTGAGCTGATCTGTTTTAACAGTTTTTTTTTTTTTTAATTGGAAAGGCATATACAGAGAGGAAGATCTTCCATCTGCTGGTTTACTCCCCAAGTGGCTGCAATGGCTAGAACTGAGCTGATCTGAATCCAGGAACCAGGAGCTTCTTCCTGGTCTCCCATCAAGGTGCATGGTCCCTAGGCTTTGGGCTTTCTCAGGCCACAAGCAGGGAGCTGGATGAGAAGCAGGGCCACAGGGACTTGAACCAGCAGTCATATAGGTTCCTGGCATGTGCAAGGTGAGGACTTCAGCCACCAGACCACCAGGCCACCATGCCAAACCCCACAGTTGATTTTTTAACAGTCAACTGTGGCTGCAGTTATAAAGTACAAAAATGGGTAGAGGCAAATAGTTTTGTGCAGTGGTCCAGGTGAGAGAGAGCTAGTTTGGTCCAGGGTAGTGGCCCAGAAGAAGGTGAAAACATGCCAACTCTACACAGAGAAATAAGATTCAAAATGTGTAGCTGGATTAGCCAAGAAATGCTTACTCTTTAGTAAGGGAAATACAGGTTTCAGGTAGGAGTCTTCCATTTAAGACCACCCATCATTGACCCGTACATGGTACACAGTCATCTGAATTCTTATCTGATGTCTTTTCCATGATTTAGACAACAGCAGTGGCAGGCAGATTGTATTTTTTATGAGAGAACTTCTGAAAAAGAACTTCCTGGAAACCCTTTAAATATAAGAATCCACTTCTTTATTATAATCCTATTCCAAAGATAGCAACCATTAGACACAATGCAATCAAATACAAAAACGGACAACTCTAAAAAACAAAAAATGATGCATTTTTAATGTGATTTTTCTTTTCTTTATCTTTACAGGTTTTGTCCTACCTGGTAAAATGTATGTAACTTTAATAAATATTAGTCTTGGGAAGATAGAACTCACAATGTTTATAATACATAATATATTATAATTTTATGATATAATAACACATAATAATTCTGCTTCATTGCCATTACCTCATTTCTATTCTTGTTTTTACCAAATGAATAGAAGTAAAAATGAGAGGAAGATGAAGCTATATCTCCTAAACTCTCAGTTTTCTAATCCCATTCACACATCTCCCAGATAAGCCCTTCTAAAAATATCTTATTAGTTGAAAAGTCCATTAAAGAGAATTCATCCCCCTCATGCTAACTAGAATTGTAAGCTATCTGATCAGCCATGTCTTGACAAAAAAGTTTGAATTTAATAAAATCACATTTATAAAATTAATTCACTATACTGATAAAGACATAATGTGTAAATCCAAAAATTTTTCTTGTTAGAAGTGGTCGGTGTTGCCTAAAAGAAAATAAAAACTTGCCATTTGAAGTGTTTTCCATTATTAATGAAGAATCTGTTTTCTTGATGTAATTGGTTATTTTAAAGCACTACATGATTACAGTAAACATAAATTAATGTATGATTATAATCTTTCACCCTTTATGTAGCAATAAATTATTCTGCCAAACAAAAGTTACTATTGTTAAAAACAAAATGACACAAGTGCGAACCTGGAGTAACACTTAGCTATTCCAGGATATATCTGTCTAATTCCAGCATTTATCTTTTCTCATTATTTCAACAAGATGCTATTAAAGAAAATTAGATCTTTCCAACTAGGTTATATCATTTGTAAGGTAATAGTATCTACGAACTGATACTTGAGTTATAAATTCTAATTTCATCTTTTGTACTTTGAGAAAAGAGATTAACAATCTTATCCACATCAAAATGCTTGTTTTGAAGCATTGATTCCATCTCTTCAAATAGTTCTTTCTCCAGTTTCTTCATGTTGTCCAACAAAGTTTTAGCTTTTTCCTGAATAATTAAAAATATAAAAATAAATACACACATAAGTCAAATCAAATTCCAACCCACATCTACATGCAAGCTTGTTCATTTTGAGTTGTTTCTGGCTTGCTTTCTCCCTTATTTTTCAGCTGAGGAAGGCTCTCCCCCCTCCCATCACTCTGCCTTTCAACTAAATAAAATTTATTTTTTAGAAAAGGAAAAAAAATTAAATTCTTTGAAAAAAATCATTGCTCTAGATTGAGTTAATACATTAATATCAAGTTATTATTTTTAATAGACAAAGACAATTATATAGAATAATCTACTAGCAAGATTTTTAAAAAACAACAGGACAATTAGAAATCTCATATTAATCATGTATGGAAGTCTACTGAAAATTGAGCTAAGTTATTTCTATGAGTTTAGATCTTCTATATTTAAGACCAGTATTACTAAATTAGGGAAACAGAACAGTATTGTTTAAGGGGTCAAGGAACTAAAAGACATTTTCTTTGAGACTGCCTCCTTGTTTCAGCAAGACAGAAAAAGGAAAGAAAGGAATTATTAGTATTAATGAGTTACCATGGTAACTAGAAAAACAGCAGGCTAAAATAAAGTTACTAGAAAGTGAGAAAGTGAGCATAATTTTAAAAATCTGAATTATCATGGAAGAATGGAACAAAACAGATTTGCAACCTTAATATAACCTTCAGTATGAAACCATACAGTTTCTCTCTCTTTGTAACTGCCCTGTGAGTGCAGGGTCCCAAGACATTGGGCCATCTTCTACTGCTTTTCCAGGCCACATATAGGGAGCTGGATGGAAAGTGGCACAGCCAGGACACAAACCAGCACCCATATGGGATCCCAGCACTTGCTAGGTGAGGATTTAGCCACTGAGCCATCACAATGGGCCAAATAAATAAAATATTTTAAAAATAAATAGATGAAAGTACTATTGTAATTTTTAAAAGGAGAGGTGCAGTGCCGTGACCTGGTGGCTTGGGTTCTCGCCTTGAGTGTGCTGGCATCCTATGTGGGTGCTGGTTCTGGTCCTGGCAGCTCCACTGCCAGACCGGCTCCCTGCTTGTGGCCCGGGAAGGCAGTCAGCGACTGCCTGGGGACCTTGCGGCCCTGTGCCAACGTGGAAGACCTGGAGGAGGATCTGGGCTCCTGGCTCCGGGTAGGCGCAGCATAGGCTGTTGAGGTCACTTGGGAATTGAATCATCGGACGGAAGATATTTCTCTCTGTCTCTCCTCCTCTCTGTATATATATATATATATATATATATATCTGACTTTGCAATAAGAATTTTAAAAAAGCACTATCATGCTTGATATTAGTTACTATTATGTTTAATATGCTAAATTTCTCTAAAACAGACCTCTTACATTACTAATTGGAAACAAAAGATAATAATGCTCTATTGCACTCTGAGCATCTAAAATATTTCCAAATCTATTTTTTATATGAAGGAAGGAAAAAAGCTGAGAGCCTGAAATTCAATAAATGGAATGAATCAAACTTTCTATTTGATATGAAATGACACAGAGGATCAACTAATCATACCTTATTATTTTCTAATATTTCCAATGCCTGTTGATGTTTTTGGTAGAGTGGGTGTCTTCTGTCAGGCTTTGGTTTCTTTTTTATTGGGTCTTCAAGTTCAAATGTGGGTGAACTGGTATCCAACAGTTGTGAAATATGTGGCACAAATACGAAAGGCTTAAAAACAGATCTAGAAAAAAAGAGTCTTCATTAAATTGGTATGTCAATATATTTAAAAATATTTAGCATCCCTTTAAGCCTTTCAAGATTCCATGTGGTTAGCAGTTTACTATCAATGATGTTACATGTTAATTGTTCCTGTCATATTGGTGAAAACAATTTTGCCTTCCCTGATACTCTTGGGATATTCTTTGGAATTTTGTGTAGCCTTATATTCTTGTGAACTTAACAAAGGGCCTGGTGCATAAACCATGTCAATGAAGTACTAATTGACCATTTCTTCCTTCACCCTCCACAGTTGGAGGGTGATATTCAGTGTTGGAGATTGACATCTGGATATAACTTGACAAAGTCATCAACTAATGGTTCTATCGTACCCTTTGACTTCTTGCTTGTTTATAGCATTCTGTACTTTACCGGTCAGGATCGGGAGTTCCTGTAAAGAAGTGAACACAGGGCAGGCTGGGGTCTTGAGGTAAAACAGAAACCATGCTTGCAGTCGTCATGAATCCACCCTCCATATTAATGCCACTTGGTTTATCTCGAAGAATCTCCATCATTGTTTCAAAATTTATGTTTCCTAGAGAAAACAATTTTTAAGAATCATCAAATATATATATATGCATATATCCATAATATACAATGTGAAATATGGGTCTTGGTATAAATAAAATAAGATTAAAACAATATCAATAGCTGTGAAATTTATTCCATGGTGATGGGAAGTTTTTAAAAAACATACATAAGGGCCCGGCGCGGTGGCGCAAGTGGTTAAGGGTCCTCGCCTTGCATGCCCGGGATCCCATATGGGTGCCGGTTCTGATCCCGGCAGCCCCGCTTCCCTTCCAGCTCCCTGCCTGTGGCCTGGGAAAGCAGTCGAGGACGGCCCAAAGCTTTGGGAACCTGCACCCGCGTGGGAGACCCGGAGGAGGCTCCTGGCTTTGGATCGGCATAGTATTGGCCCGTTGCGCTCACTTGGGGAGTGAATCATCGGATGGAAGATCTTCCTCTCTGTCTCTCCTCTCTGTATATCCGCCTTTCCAATGAAAAAATAATAAAAATAAATCTTTAAAAAAAATAAATAAAAAACATACATAAAGTATGCAAAAATCTCAAAACTACTGGAGCAGACAGAAAAAACTTCCTAAGAGGAAAGAATCAGTAAAGCAATAACGCAAATCCAAATGCTCTTGTGGATGTTTGAAAGCACACTGAGTCAGCAATGAACTGACTATCTCAGCAACCATTAATTACCCAAGTCTATCTATCCGTTCTGGCAGACAAATATTAAAGACAGTATTGTGCTTAATTTCCAGTCTTTCACAAGGCATTCTTAGCAACATAACAAGTCAAGGGACAGCATTGTGGCAAAGTAGGAAAAGCCACCAGATGCGTGCTGGTTCAAGAGCTGGCTGCTGCAAATTCAATCCACATCCCTGATAGTGACCCACGACAAACAACATGAGATGGTCCAGGTGTTTTTCAGATCCTGCCATCCAGATGGGAAGCCGGATGAAGCTCCAGGATCCTGTCTTATGCCACTGCAGCCAACTGGGGAGTGAATCAGCAGATAGAAGATTCATTCATTCATTCATTCATTCTCTCTCTTTCTGTAATTCTGATTTTCAAATAAATCTTTAAAAAATGAAAACAAATTATTTTCCTATAATAATTTCTGTGCCTGACATCAATGGCTTTATATAAGACTATGAATTATAAAGTGAGTACGAATGAACATAAACACAGTTTGGGTTCCTGGAATTTTAATGTGCACCATTCTGCTGAACTAATTTAATAAAATTTTAAGCATCTGTGGGTTATGATGAAATTTTGTAGGAAAGTGTTGTACATGATTATAATTTATTTTTTGCTCTCATTTAAATTTTTAATATTTTAAGGAAAAACTGAGAAAAATAGGAAAACAGAGAAAACCTCTATGGGTAAACATGTGTTTCTGGTTATAGAGAGGATCAGAGTCCAGTATTTGGATGATTGAACCAAAACAATTTGAAAGCCAGTGATGCCTTCCAACAGCTCTGCTTCTTGCTATCCATACCCATAGTTAATGAGGAAGCTCAGAACTGACTGACCTCATGACAAAAAAGGTCTTAGCCTTCCCAAAGCAGTCCTCCAAAAGGAGACTATTTTTCTTCTCACAAGTGTTCTATTCTCAAAAATTTATGACTACCAATTTCCTCCTGAATAAAATTAAGACTCCTTCAAATTAAAACTTACAACTAAGCTGGACTAAATTGACCTTTTCATCCCCATCTATATGCATTTATGATCTTTTCTTCAAATTGAATCTAGCTTTATCATTAGCTTAAAAGTTCTACAGAGATAAGGATGGTGTTTTTCTCTGCTAAGTTTCCACCCACTTAACAAGTATCTATTAAGCGACAAGCACTGTATCAGGTACTGGAGATATAGATAAATCTAAATAAACAGAAATAGGTATTTGTGAATGTAAATAAGCAAAAGTCTCCTGATCCATTTTCAACAGAAGGTACCACAGTTAATTCAGTGAGGGTCTTTCCAGAAAAGGTTCAGTATAGGTTTAACTGTTTTCGTTTGATTAGATACAAGAAATTTTTCTGAAGATTTATTTGGAAAGCAGAGTTAAAGAAAGAGAGAAAGACTGAAACAGAGCTCTTTCATTTGCTGGTTCTCCACTCCCCTAATGGCCACTATGGCCAGGGCTGGGCCAGGACAAAGCCAGGAGCCAGGGGATTCTAGGTCTCATACATGGGTAGCAGGCCCCAAGTATTTAGATCATTTTCTGCTGCTTTCCCAGGTACATTAGCAGGGAGTTGGATCAGAACTGGAGCAGACAATACTTGGACTGGCACTCTTATAAGATGTCAGTTTCACAGTCAGAGGCTGAACACATTATGCTGTAACATCAGTAGACAAAAATTATAAGCTATCAAACAAAACTTGTATCAGAAAATAGCCACTTGAAATAACATTTAAAATCAAAATCAAAATCATGGTAAAGAGCAAAGATAAAGGATTAAATGTATTTTTACATAAAATATTACACAAATAAGGGAGAGAGAAGGACCAAGACTAAACAAATTGCTACTTTGCCAATACTGAGAATGAAGCCAGGGTATTAAGACAGAAATTGGGCCCACCACAATTGACTAATCCTCTACCTCTAAGTGCCAGGATCCCATAAGGGTCCCCGTTCAGGCCCGGCTGCTCCACTTCCTATCCAGCTTCTCTTTGTGGTATGGGAAAACAGTGGAGGACGGCCAAAGCCTTGGGACCCTGCAAGTGCATGGGAGATCCAGAAAAGCTCCTGGCTCTTGGTTTTAGATAGGCTCAACTCTGACCATTACAACCATGTGGGGAGTGAACCAACAGATGGAGGATCTTTCTATCTACCCTGATCTTGAAATCAACCAAAAAAGTACAAAAATAAACAAACCTTATAGACCAATATTCCTCATGAAAACAATTGCAAAATTACTCAACAAAATATAGCAAATAGAATCTAGTAATATAAAAATAGAACTACATATAATATCAATCTAGAAAAATAATTTACAAATTTCAAAATAAATTATGCATGATAAAAACTCAGTAACTAGCTTAACTTAATAAAGTTTATAAAATATATCTGCAAGGATTCCTTAAAAAGTCTATATAAACTGTGCATTATGAAAAAAGTGGGGCCCAGCAGCGTGACCTATTGGCTTAAGTCCTTGCCTTGAACGCCCTGGGATCCCATATGGGCGCCAGTTCTAATCCTGGCAGCTCCACTTCCCATCCAGCTCCCTGCTTGTGGCCTGGAAGGGCAGTCAAGGATGGCCCAAAGCTTTGGGACCCTGCACCCATGTGGGAGACGCGGAAGAGATTCCTGGCTCCTTGATTTTGATTGGCTCAGCTCTAGCCGTTGCGGCCACTTGGGGAGTGAATCATCGGATGGAAGATCTTCCTCTCTGTCTCTCCTCCTCTGTATATCTGACTTTGTAATAAAAATAAATAAATCTTTAAAAAACAAAAAAGAAAAAGTGCACATAGCTTCCACATTTTTGGATCAAAAATATTTATCTTTTAATTCCATTTTCCCACAAACTTTTGAAGTCTTCTCAGACAAGTAATTACAAGTAATATTATACTCAATGGTAAATGTCCCACATATTTCCCCTTAACAATGAGACCAAGACAAGGATGTTGAACAAGGCAAGCAGATACATCACCTTTATTCAACATAATATTAGAAATCAGTCAGCATGATTGTACAGTGGATTAAGATGTTCTTTGAATGCTAGCACCCTATAATGGAGTTCTGGTGACAGCCTGGCTCTCTATTTCCCATTCAGCTCTCTGCTAAGACATGGGAAAGCAGAAGATGGGTCAAGTGTTTGGGTCTTTGTCATCCACATAGGAGACCCAGATTAGAGCTTCTTACTTCTGGCTTCTGTCTGGTCCAACTCCAGCTACTGCAGTCATTTAGCCAGTGAACCATTTGATGGAAGATCGTTCTCCTGTCTCTCCCTCCATGCCACTCTGTCTTTCAAATAACTCTTTAAAACAAAATGGAGGGGGGGGGGCGGGTTCAGCATAGTAGCCTAGTCGCTACAGTCCTCGACTTGCACAAACCAGGATCCCATATGGATACCGGTTCTAATCCCAGTGGCCCCACTTTCCCGTCCAGCTCCCTGTTTGTGGCCTGGGAAGCAGTAGAAGACAGCCCAAAGCCTTGGAACCCTGCCCCTGCATGGGAGACCCAGAAGAGGCTTCCGGCTTCTGGCCGGCGCAGCACTGGCCATTGTGGTCATTTGAGGAGTGAATCATTGGATGGAGTATCTTCATCTCTGTCTCTCCTCCTTTCTATCTGACTTTGCAATAAAAATAAAATAAATCTTTTCAAAAATTAGCAGTTGTAGCCAGTGCAACAAGGTAAAAAAGGAAAAAGAATCAATCATCAACAGGTTCCTAGAATAGTGAGTTTAGCAAGATTACAGGATATAAGATCAACATACCTTTACAAATCAAAACAAATTTGAAACGTTAAAGTTCTCCTTTAAAGAACAATTGATCAAGGCTCTGGTTTTTTTGTTATTTTGTTTTGTTTTGTTTTGTTTAAGGCTCTGTTGAAAGAAAACTAATGTCACTGTTTCATTTAGGTTGACAATGTAAGCACTATGGGGATTTAATTTTCTCTTCTGGAATCTATTCTAAAGAAATAACTTTGACAGGCAGACAAAATGTAATGAACAGAGGTGTTGACTGCAACATGATTTACAGTAACAAAAACAAACAAAAAATCCTAAAATTACCAACTGTGTTTCCCTTCTACCAGCCACTATGACAGAAAGTCACAGACTGAATCAATAATGTCAGCTGCTGTGTGGTCCTATGCTTGCCATAAAGTAAATGGTCCCTAAAAATGTCTTTAACAAAGTCAATATGGAAACATATTGATCAATGTGTCCTTTTATTTTCTTATATTATTATTGCTTTTTAAAATCTAGTTTAACAATCTTTGTCCTTTTTTTAAGTGTATTCTTTTATTTGAAGGCAGATTTACAGAAACAAGGAGAGACAGAAAGTAAGATCCTCCATCCA